TTGGGCTGATGCGATTGCGCCTTGACCTACTCATGGAGGCGCATGGAAGGGAGTAAGGGGGGGGGGGGTCTCGGGAAAAATACTACGTAACTAGCATCTTTTGCTGAGAACTGTCGGCAAAAGTTTGATCTTTCGACTTGTCAAGGGCCAAAAGCCTTTAGTCCCACGATGTGGAATCTGGTGTCATGGTATGGCCAGCCGGAAAATATTCAGATATGTATGTATTCAGGCGGGAAGACATTGGTTTTGTTTTCGAGAAGGCCAGGTCGCGTAGGGGAGACATGTGGCATGTATTGTCTGGAGTCTGTCTGCATTAACGTACGAATATGTATCGCTGCTCCGGATTCTGCTCCCCGAGACTCAAAACAGACAACTCTGCAGATACATCTTTGGTGTTTGTGGCCGTGATTGGCGCTGTTGAGGGTGCCTTCGGCCAGTCGGGATGTGGTGATTGTGGGGTGATCAAGATGCTGCCGCTCGGGGCCACGCGCCTTCTTTCAATTCCACTTGGAAGCCGGAGAAAAACATGGAGCTAGCTTCCTGGGCCTTTTCGTGATGGTGGATCGGGTTCGCTGCAACATGCTCCGCGAGGTGTACGGAGTAGGGGACAGGACAGAAGCGAAAAATGCGACTGCAGTGCCCCAGTCATCGTGGAGAAGAAGCGTGCGGTTCTAAAACCTCGACGTCGAACATGGTTCAGCCCTCCAGTGTAACAACTGATGCTGGTCGACTGGCGAACCAGGGCATCCATTCAAGAAAGCTCCAGGCGGCCGCCAGAGGCAAACGATATGTTGTGGGGAGATGGAGATGGCTGAATACCACATGCGGCTGGCCACACGTCTGGACTTGAACCATGCAAAGCATAATTATCTGCATCTGTATGGAGTACGGAGTACCGATACGTCAGCCAGTGTTGCCCAGTGCATTAGTGTCATCGTCTTTCAGCCCGCTGCTATCTGAGGGAGCTTGTGCGTGAGAAAAGAATTCAAAAAGTTCTACTCTGTAGGGCGTCGGAAATGTCTCAAGCTTAATACCTTCCGAGTCATGACTGTGGCTGCGCAGCAACAAGCCTGCCAGCGCCACGAGGCTTCTGGCCTGATTCCAAACGATTCCCTCATGCTGCAAAGGAACGCTGTGCTCTCGTCTTGTGGAAAGTGTCAACGGTGGCAAAGCACGGACGAAAGTTTGCTGCGCTGCCGTCGCAAATCGAATGGGCCGTTCCGTCCAGCATGCTTCGTCATGAAGTTGGAGAGAAAACGGACGGATTGTCAGTCAATCCATGATGGCTTTCAGCCAGTGTCAAAAGCCGTGGACCCCCAAAGGAAATGTTGCCGCTATCCCTCTAGTCGGATTTTGCTGTCAACATGTGTTTGCTGGCGGCCGCAGAGAACAGCCTTTCTCTGTCAATGCGAGGCTGGGCGACGGTTCACTGTCAGCCATGCCCATCAAGCCGCGAAGCTGAAGCCTGTCAATGTAAACGTCACAAGATCAGTCTTCCGTAGTCGTCAGCATCTCCATTGCGAAGATGCTGCGGAGGTTTGTCGGGTTGTCAGTCAAGGCAGGCGCGGCTGCCTCTGCAATTGCCGAGACTCCATCCAAGTGTCCCAAGGAGGAAAGAGCCCCTCTATTGATGATGCCTAGGCGAGAAGGCAAGCGACCACGGGGCAACTGTTGGCATCATCATCTTTCATTTTGCACTGGTCACTCTTTTCATTTGTCATTTTTCAGTCTCCAGCCATCCACGATATCGCTTTTCTCCTGTCCGAATGTCAGATGCTAGCACTGTCGGTGCCACGTTCTGTCCCGCCATCGTCCCATTCTACCGGGGTAGCAATTGAACCAACGCGCGACGTCATCGTTGGGAAATGACCTCGTGCTGAGCTAACTCTAGCAACTTGGTGCAACATTGCATGGCCAACTTCCGCAACCCGTCGGGTTTTCCATGTCCTGCAGAAGCTTAGAAGCCTATTTACTTTGCCCTCGGCCCGTGCTATCAGCCCGTGACCATGGTCCATGGACTGTTCTCCTCGGACCACCAAAGCTCAGCGTTGGCCCGAAACCCTTTGATGTACGGGCAAGCCGGGCTTGGCGTGGCGCACAACAGCGTGGTGGCACAATACTTCAAGCTAACGGTCGATAGGAGTTAGATGCAATTGGCGATGTAAACACCATTTTGGCTTACATGGCACGAACCGTTATATGTACTCGGCTGCGTACAGCAATCGCCAGACGCTTGTGCGAAATAAACAAGAGACTGGTGGGACATCACCTCTCGGCTCTAATCAGAAGCCTCTGAGACTCATGATGCCAATCAAACACCGCAAGGCTGGCCTAACCGAGACGCCAACTCGCTCTCGTATCATGGGAACATCTCTCGCCATACGCTACGTGAGAGTTTTCCTGTGCGGCCGCAGGGAAATATGTGTATTATTTTCGACGAAATACAGTGCTAAATCTCACAGTCAGACCACGTCCTCGACGCTATTGATTGCATCTCCATCATAGTCCATGGCAGGTGGATGATGGGCGCGAATTGCGAATGACCGTGCCCGCGCCGCCCACGCCCCGGCCTCTCCGCTTCGTCAACACTCAAGCCTCGGGAGCTCAGACAATCTCTCACGCCGCTCATATTTTTCAAAATTGCAAAACTCACTTTGAGCTTGGCCCCTTCGGCTTCACATAGGATTGAATTGGTTTGCTTGGCTCTCGCCCCAACACACGTGCTGCGAGGCGTCTCCTGTCATGACCTGGACGGCAGCCAGCATAGCTCAGCCCCGATAGCCAGCCCTAGAGTCGCATTCATCTACCGTATACTCAGCTTCTATTACAATACAAGTTCCATTTTCTGCCAGTTGCAACCCTCTTCTCGGTGCTGACCCGTGGCGCTGGTCACACTGGCGGGACATTTCTAGGCGTTTGGATGCGCAACTAACTGTCCTTGGCCAGCCTACAGGATGGGACTAGCATGCAAGGCGAGTTGGGGGATCTCATGTGCCAGACGCGGCCAGGTTGGCAGGGTTGGCCCCAAGCGCCCTTCCGGCAGCACCCACTGGTTCTCGCGGTCGCTGCCCCTGGTGGCTGGGTTTTCGTGGCGATGCTTCCCGAGCACCCATCTCTGAGAAGATGCAAGCCGACTGGGGTGGCGGTTCGCGCTGTTCCCGTCCGGGACTACTGCGGGCTGCTGGCGCTCATGCTGCTCATTCTTGTGGTAAAGTTGCTGTTGCTGGTAAGCTGGGTATCCAACCAGTCGATCCCCACTCATGCTCGTCAGGCACCAGAAGGAAAGTTGGAGGCCAAGGCATGGGCTATGGGTTGTGTGTTCCAGGGGCATGGGCCATCCCAGACTGGGGGATCCATGACGCTTTTGAACTTGCCAACCAAGGTTTCGCATGGACCCGACTCAGAGAAAGTCCCATGCCGCTCCAGATGCCAAAATTGCCCGCCTTTTTGCCCTTTTGCGAGGACGAAGTAGGTACCGAGTATCACGGCGTCTGTAGGCACAAAACGGGGTACTCGGTACTCGGCATCCGGTACTCGGCGCTACCACGTCCGTCGACATGATTTGTACAATATTTGTACAGACGACATTGCGGGAGGACCGGGGATCCATGATCCATGCTCACCATCGCGGATGGGCCGCAACCAAACCGTGATAACCGCTCCACTTGTCCAGGCACAGTTCGGACTCAGCACGGCCAAAGACTCCTCAATTGAGAGGTCTGCTCAGTGCCTTTTGTCCCTATTTGGAGCTTCTCATCAGCCCATCTCGTCTGGCTAGCAAGTGCCATTGTGCGCCAGCACTTCCAGACTTCCCTCATCAATCTCTTTGTCGGCTTGCTGGCCCCCACACACCCCTGCGGCCTGTTGTTTCCATGGCCTGTCTGTTGTCCCACACCAACCCCCGTTTGTTGCTGATGGTTGTGACCTGGCCTGGTGTGCTGGTGTTGGGGGGTGCCTGGCTCCATGGTCCTCTTGGTCCTGCAGCAAAGCAGCGCACACCAAACGCTGGGGCCCTTTCCTCCATCCTTGGGCAATTTCCCCCATTGCACGTCTGTTAGTCCTCGTGGCCCTTCTAAAAAATCCTAGTCCCAGGTCTGCGTCATGTCTGTTGCTCTCGCTGGAAGCGATGAGAAGTGTTGCTGCTGCTGCTGCTTGTCCCTGCCGGTGACCATTGGATGGAATACGCAGTCCATGTACGGAGGACGGAGTATTCCGTGCGTATGTACTCCGTATGTGCAAGAAAACGTCTCGTTTTGCAGGGCGACGCTTTCGCTGGAAACAACCAGACCTATGTATTGTAAGAAAGCTACTTAAGTACTTTAAACAAGGCTGGGAAGGAGGCCGTGGACTACGGAGTACTCTTCATATTCACCCAGGGCCGACGTCAACTCGATCCGTATTCTGTTGCGCCCTCCCGCCCTAGTTGTAATTGCACAGATAGCATACAAGACTTCAGCAAACTCATTATCTGCATCTGTGTTTCTTTTGCTAGTTCATCTGGCTCTGGTCATCCTCGCTGGCGACCTGGTCCAGGGATTGTTCAGTCAGATTTATCAATGCGCAGCAGCCGCAGGACAAGTCAACTAGTGCTACCCCCTTTTGCACCCCCCCTACTAATAATAATACATGCTAATTCGCGCGGGGACTCCCCTTCAGGAACTTGTCAGAGTACTTGATAACAGGGTATCTGGCACGGAGGTGTTGCTCGACAAGAATCCCGGGTCTTTTTTTATACTACTGTACCTCCGTACCCATACAGCTTGGACAGGATCGTCCGTTTGTACTGAGCAAGCCTCCGGCTTGGGTTTGTTTTAATCTATCCCCTCCTCCTCGCCGTTGAGCTCTGCTCTTCTACTCTGACCAGACACACCACTGCGACCAACGACAAATTGCGCCGTCTGATTCCATTCGAGACTATCCTTCAACGCTCGTCGTTGTCGTAGAGGTGCTCCGTCACCTTCACCCATCATCGTCCATTACCCTCGATGTGAGACTACACCATGGACCAGAGTCAGAATCACCAGCTCCAGCAGCCGCTGTCGCTACAGTCCACGGCCTCGTCGCCGTCGGCCGATGCTTCACCGCAGGACGTGCTTGCTGAGGCTCGCAAGAACCTCCAGGTCTTGATCGATTCTGGTTTCTCCAAGGACATGCTCCATCAATGGGTTGACGATAGCCTGTCGCTACAGCACTCTGGTTTACAAACTGCAACACTCGCTTCAACTCTATCGTTACCAACGACTACGACAACATCACCAACGTCACTCGCTCCTCAGCGTGATCCCCCCCCGCCTCCTCCTCCTCAATGTCCTCCGCCACCACCTCCGTCTACCGTTCCCTCCAGCCGAGCACCAGCGCCCCCTATGATACCGTCCTCGACGCCGTCGAGCATTGCCTCTGGCGACATCAAAACGGAATCCTTGGCCGACGACATGTCGCGAAACTGGTCTTCAGCTCCTACTCTCGGTTCGAATTCCAACACCATGATGACCAACATGGACCGGTCGGCCGGTTCTCAATTGGCCAACATTGAACCTCACCTCTTCTTCGCCGCCCCTTCTCCAGCATTTTCTCACAGGCCCAGGATCTCCATTTCTTCCGTCAGCTCCGGCTCCTCAGGGCATGCATCCATTTGGTCAACAAACTCGGCTCACTCAGCATTGTCATGGCAATCCGGTGCATCTGCGCGATCTGGTTTTCCGCATGTCGGCGTGGGAATGATGCATGGCAGCTCTGTTTCGTCTCTCAACGGCGGAGGTGCAAGCAGCAGCAGCAGCAGCAACAATGCCGCCAACAAGCAAAACATTTACTGGTGTACATCTTGTGAGACCAGTTTTAAGCGAAAGTATGACTGGAAGAGACACGAAGACGAATTCCACGAACGCTGGAGAAAATACCCCTGCCCGGAACCAGGCTGCAACAGAAGCTTCTGGGGATCCAACTCGTTCAACCAACATCATAAGCAGTGCCATGGATGCAAGACTTGCCCTCACGCTGAAAAAGTAGTCAAGTTTCTTCGCAAACGAAAGTACTGGGCATGTGGCTTTTGTTCTGCCTTGCATCCTGCACGGGAACGACACGTCGAACACGTTGCCCGCCACTTCGAATCCGGACTCTCCAAGGGTGACTGGATGCACTCACGGGTCATCTATGGCCTTTTGCATCAGCCGCTAATCCGGGAAGCATGGGATACCATTGTTGAGGGGAAACGATCCGACTATGGTGGTAGGCGGCCACAATTCAGCTGGCACCCAAGCAAGACGGGTCGAGCCCAGGGCTTTTTGGAGAAGGAGAGTCCCGGACAGCTTCAGGATCTCCTAGAGTTCTTTTCCGGCGACGAAAGCGAGGCCAACTGGGTCGTTGGCATCGCCTATGAATTGGCGGATATTGTCATGGGCACGCCTCCTACACCCACTCCTCCGCCACCGCAGTTTGCCAGCGGCGCTGCCTCAATGGGACCTCCTCAGCATCCTCCTCCCTTCGTTCCTCTTCCCTCACAGGCCCATCAACAGGCAGCCTTGCTCACACCGACGAGCCCCAATAACCAGAGTCCCTTTGCTGCACCATTCCAGCAAGGTCCTGTTTTCCTGCCCTCGCAGCCGTTTGGGGCGGCGGCCAGCCGCCCTTCTCCCGACTCCTCCAACCAATCTTCGATGACTGCATCGCAGTCTCCTCTAGGGCCTGGCGGCTCACCAATGGAGGGACATGTTCGTGATATGCGGCAGTCGACTTCAAACTCGGGCCACTCCATTGGGGATTCCATGATGGATTACGAATACTCCACAGGGGGAAGTTCATATGATAGCTGGCCACCCAGTTTCGCGAGCCCCGTAGCGGGCAGCCCGGCATCGCAACAGCATGCCGGCCCTGCCCCCCCTGATTGGAATGTAATGCAATACTTCAGTAATGACACGCAAACGGCGTCTGCGGGAAGCAACAGCAACTGCTGAGAGGCAAAAATAACGCGAGGCGGATCAACCTCAGCAATTGACGGTCTTACGCCGCGCCGACTCTCCTTCATGTCTTGACCACATGGTTCATAACAAGCATTCTTTTTGTTCATATTTTGATTTGACTGCTGCCTCAAATTACAGCTACGGCACGCCGATACGGCTCTACCAGCAACGTCTATGCTTTACGTATGTCGAGCCAACCAAGTGCCTATTTCATATACTACAGCTGTGCTTGCGTTCCGTTCCGATTTGGGGGGACTTAATGATAATACCCTTGCGATTTTGCAGTGTGGCGCGAAGTGGTGACTAGTCGCATCTCCGTCAAGCCAGCTGCCGCAACCAGGCTTCCTTTACTGTTTATATGTGGAAACCCGGTTGAACCCACAAGAGAAAGGGGGACTTTTCTTTTTTTTTTTTTCGATTTCTTTCTTCTTCTTTTTTTCATTTTTCATTTGGCAGAGCAGTTTGCAATAATTGCGTCCCTCCTTTCGCTCTTCTGCTCAACTTGTCATGGACGTTTGTTCTCGTCCGTCTTTTTCTTTGTTCTGATTGTTTTCGGATCCGTGGTCTACGGCGTTGGGGTATAACTTTGAGGGCCCCTAGGAAGCGTTGGGAAGGGCTGGAAGGGCTGGCTCGGATGAGACGAAAGTGTGATTTGGGATGGAGAGGTGTGTTTTGGCAGTTTGTTCACAAGTGAGCATGCAAGACACCTGACTGTACCAAAAACTTGTACATGGGCGGCAGTATGGGCGGTAATAAAAACTCCGTGTAGGATATGAGTAGGGAATATGAATGTTTCAGAAGACGTGCGCTGTTGTATGTATGATGGTGATTCTTGGCACGAATGATGGATGGAAGGGATTCCTTTGTTTCAAGTCAAAAAAGCAACAGGCCAGGGCTGCAGGGCCTGATAGCGCGGCACGTGGAGTTGACGTGCAGACTGCACCTTGTTGTTGAGAGTTGAGACACGGAACCAGAACCGGAACCCCACACACAGTTGAGTCGAGGTTTCGGATCGACTTGAGACAATGGCGAACTGATCCACAACCAACGCAACGAACACTTGGACCATGCTGACGAGTATGACTATTCCAGACTTGCACAGAGCTCACGGGCATAGTATGCTGTTAGTAACTGATAAGTATTGATACCATGTCCATCTGAAGACATGTGGTCTCACATACAAGTCCGTCTGGGCGGAACCTACAAGGCAACTACTGACTTGTATAATACTACGGGCCGTCAAGACAAGTAATAACTACGGGCTTATTTGAGGAGCAGGGCGTGACGATGAGCTTTTCTTCTTGTTTAGTGAGCAGAGATCCGTCTAAGCTATCCATACAAATCTTTCCCCGAATACGACGGATAGGCGCTCTACACAGCATCCCATAACCGAAGACGACATTTAGCCTCGGCCGCTGTGCTTCTTCTTCTTCTTCTTTCCTCTCTTCTTCTTCTTGTCAGATTTGCCCGCCTGCTCCGGGTCCTGGCTCTCTTCTTCCAGCAAGCCCTGCGCCCACTCCGACCACTTGACGTCGGTCAACTGCTCATTCTCGGCGACCGCAGCCCACCGCGAGTGGTGAATGTACTCGTACACTTCGCCCGGCGCAAAGGGACCCTGGGCCAACGCCTGCTCCTGCGCCAGCTCGTCCTGGCGCTGGCCATACTGGTGCGCGAGCTGATCCCCCCGTCTGCGCAGCTCGTTGTTGTACCGCTGCCGAAACCCCCGCGGCATCATCTGGAACACGACGCCGTGCCTAACACTGTCCATCCGCCTGAGACTCCGATGTTGGGCCGCCAGGCTCTCCAAAATAACATCATGGCCCGCGGGCCCTCCGCTCACCCCCGCGTGCTGCGGCCGACCATGAGGCGAAGAGCCGTGCCGGGACGAGCTCGTCGCGTGTGTATGTGCATCCGGCATCGTCAAAGTATGGCCTGAAGCGTCGGGTGACTATATATCTCCCTCCGGTACCGGGTTCCTTGGGCCGTTTGAATCCACCCAAGCTCGTGTGCTCGGAATATCTTTGAGAAAAAAGCCAAAAAAAAAAAAAAAGAAGAGTCCACGCGGGACTCTTTATACCCCCTTTTTGTCGTATGGGGGTATTATTCGTGAAGAAGCGATTTACACGATCCTCGACATCTTTCCCAAAAGGAAAGAAACATCGTGACTAACATGCATGTAGCCGGCGAGCGTGAACAGCGACTAACACGGACCATCGTGGCCAAGGTGATACAACGAAGCGGTGACACTACCTTGGCACAATGACGTCTTGAGAGTCAAGCGCCGCTCTGCAGCAGACTGTGCGGCGTGAAGACACACACGCACACGCGCACAAATTTAATAAAAAGGCCCAAATTCCCGGCTGGGCATTCGCGCAGTGAGCCCGAAGAGCTGTTGCCTCGGCGTGACGACGATTCACCACCCCGTGCGTGCGAAAAAGGGGGGACGGGCTGGATATCACCCCCTATTCACGTACCGTGTCTTACTCATCTGGCTTCATGTGCTCCCCCGCGTGCGAATTGCACCCGTTGCTGTGCAGCTGCGTTGCATGCCGGCACTGGTGCTATCTGGTCGTTTCCTCCCCCTCTTTCTGCTGGTGGTGTGCTTGTCTCTGCTGCCTGTAGGCAGGAGCGTGCCCGTGTCTGCGTCTTGCGTTCCGGCGGTGCGCTTTTCTGATTGCTCTTTACGGGGAGGGACTGCCGCTCCGGCTATTCAGATGGTGTGGCAGGCGGGCTTTGCGGGATTGGAGACGCTCGTGGTTGGTGGTTGGGAGTTGGTGGTTGGGAGTTGGGCCGTCACGTCGATTTGCTACTTGCCCTTTTGGGGATTTTGCATACCGTTCCTTTTTTTTTTTTGCCGTTGGTGGTGTGGGAGTCCGGGCGTCGAGGGTGCCGTTTTTATTTACATTTGGCTCTTTTGCATGTGGGAGAGGATGTGTGGCGGGTTTGGAGTGTATTGGTTTCTGGATAAATGACACATGCATCCCCCGTTATCAACGGCGTCTCTTTGGGGTGTATTCCAAATTCAAGATGTGCATATCCTCCTTTCAACCACAATTTTTGCCGTGGATTCTACATGAAACGCACGTGTATCTTCTTATACACTGCTGCGTAGCCCGAATACAGGGCACACATGTCCTCTTGTAGATTGCGTCTCTTTGCCGTAGATTCCGAATCAAACACACAAATAGCCCTCCTATAAACGGCAAGTCTCTGCCCAAACCACAACTCGCGATGGAGCATATTGCGAAAGGGTCGCACAATGCCCTGACATGCCCATCTCCATTGTCCGTATCGGCTCCTCCCTTATCGTTGTCCTTCTCGCGCCATGCGCCTCGCTATACGAGTCCTCGTCATCGGGTTCCCCGTCATGCTTAGACTTGGGCCGCTCATTGTGTGGCTCTAGTTCTCAAGCACCCCCTGCTTCTTCAGCGGCTTGCTCAGGGGCTTGTTCTGCGGCTTGTTCTGCGGCTTGTCCAGCGGCTTGCTCAGGGCCCCGTTGAGCGGCTTGTTGAGCGGTGCGTGCTTGCCGGAAAGCTTCGAGTTCGGCCCGGTCCCGTGATTCCTGTTCGTTTTGTTCCTCGAAGCAGCGGTACAGGTTGTTGTACGCTCTGGCGCGTTTGTTGCAGGTGTCCACAACTCTCTTTTGGAATGCTTGAGGATATAGGAAGAAACTCGGCTTTAACCTTTGTTTATCCAGTTTTTTATACTTTTCCCACATGTCGTTCAAGACATATTTTTGCTCAGGATTAAACTTCTTACGAGGCCCCCTAGAGGACGTTGGGCTCCCGGAGGAATTTGGCCTCCCAGCACTACCTGCGCATTCGGACGCGGGGGGTCTGTTGACAATTTCAGGCATTTTTCGCGTATTGAAGGTTCGATACGTCGATATTGGGGGGTTTGCTGTGCTTGGCAATGGGTCATGATATGCGCTATCAGGGGCGGCGTGACCGTCTTCATATATACTGAAATTGACATCGTGTTAACAGCAATATCTGTGACGTCTTTCCAGTTGACTCTTGAGTTTTCAGCCTGGGGTAGCTGTGTCGTCTTCGTGAAAAAAGGGCGAGACTGCGCCTTCTTTGTATCTGGTAGTTGTGCACTCGGCTGAAGTAGACGAACTGGCGCCCATGTTGACCAAATGCGTCCTTTATTCATGAAGACTGCGGTGCAGTACATTGTGCTTGAATACTGTGAGCAGTTGGAAAGCATATAAAGGCAGCCATGAAGCTGCCAGCCACGGCAGGCTTCGCTTTTCTCTCATCCAAGAACTCTCCATGGTCATGAATCTGACCCCTAACATACGCTTGATTGTTCGAGCTGAATGACGGTGGTAGGCCGAGTGCTTTCCGGAAGAACCGTCCACAGACGCAAACAAATGCTATCAAGTCACTCAATCACTGCCCACCTCTCTTCTGCCATCCACGCGGTGAGGGATTCCATTGTCCAACACGTCAACAGTTTCGATGGAAGAATAGAACTTCAACACATGGTCCTTCAGGTCGGATGTAGCCATGTTGATTAATTAGCCGTCGATCCTGGATTCATTCAAGCAGCCACAGCTCTGAATAGGCGTCACAAGAAATGTAATTGATGGGAAAGAAAGGCCCCGTGAACCCGAAGCAAGCATTGATTGTTCTGATGATTCAATGTTGAGCAATGAAGCATCCAAGGTTCCGAACCGTGAACAGTGGGGTATTTTACCAGTTTTTTGCCCATTGATTGGCTCCTGCTCTACTGGCCACGAGCCTTTGGCCAGATGAGGTACCACACTATCATGCACCATGCTATAATAGATGTTGGTGTATTAAGCGTATACTTGAATACTTTGTTTGCTCAATGTACCTTCCTTACACTGGTTGCCATGCAATGGAGGAAATTGACAGACTAATCACTACAGGCTGCCATTCATTTCCAAGTTCAACTCAGCCCAATTGAGGAGAGCTTCAACGAGTAGAGTATAACTTCATGGGTTAGATATGCGATGCAAGCAAGTATTCAGAGAGAGCTTGGGTGAATTTGCGCGGATGCTGGATGAAAGGCGGCAATAGCCACCGAGCTCTTTCCGTGTTTCGACTCTACGAACCTAGAACAACACTCTCCGCTTCAAAGGCTTCCCAAGCCACCGACGCTGCATAGCAGCACCCCCAGCAGCATCCCGGAAGCATCCACGCAGCAGCCATGGATGAGGAGGACAGGTTCTCGGCCAGCTCTCCCGAGTCGGAGCGTCCCAACGAGCCGGACGAAGTCATGGAGGATGCCGAGGACGGGGACGACGCCGCAGAACAGGACGACGACAATAATGATGACGACGATGAGAATAACGACGACGACAACGAGAACCACGATGGCGGCGACGATGAAGGGGACGACGCCGCCGCTACCCAAAACGCGACTGCGACTACGAATGCGACTGCTGGTGGCGGCGCCAATGCCAACAGCAATGCCAATGCCAATGCCAATGCCCATGGCGATCCCGACGGCCATGGAGATGGGCAATCGGCTGTCAAATCCAGCAAATCTGCTACACCGACGCCTTCCGCCGCCCGCTTACGCCTGCGTCCATCTCTGCGACCCGAAGCAATCACGGCGCGACTCTACGACATCGTCCCGACAATGGCCGCGCCCCAGTCGACGAGCATCAATGCCATGGCCATCACCCCGGACCTGCGCTACTGGATAACAGGAGGCTCGGACGGCTACATTCGAAAATATGACGGACCCGGCACCATCAACGGCAAGCTGGCCTTGACCGTCGCCCAGAAGCACCCCTTCGTTGACAGCGTCACCAAGGCCGGCATCCTAATGTCGTACTGGGAAAACGAGGAGCCAGCCGCCCCAGGGAGAGGAGACCAAGACCACAATCTGTCGCCCGTCTACTCATTGGCTGTTCATTCGCGAGCCCTCTGGCTCCTCTCCGGCCTCGAATCGGGCGGCATCAACCTACAGAGTGTCCGTCACGACGAGGGCAAAAAGATTGCGTGCTTGCAAAAACACACCAACGCTGTCAGCTCGCTGATGCTGGCGCCCGACGAAAAGAGCGTGCTGAGCGGCGGTTGGGACAAGAACATCTTTGACTGGGACTTGAACACTGGCCAGACCATCCGCAGCTTCGGTGGATCAGGCGGCCAGATCTCCTCCATCGAGCTGCGCCCTGCGAGCGGTGACCCCGTCCCCGTGGAAGCAGACGAGCCCATTCCATCAACTACCATATCGACGAATAATGGCGCTCCGCTTGTCAACGGTGTCCTCAAGGACGAATCTGGTGCGCGTGATACCGGAGCCGCCGACAAATTTGGCGCCGCCGGTCGAGACGCCGCCGTCTCGCCTGGTAACGAGAGTCTATTTGGCGGAAGTGACGCGGGGAGTTTATTCGGAGAGACTGCGGGCGAGCAGCCCTTTGGCAACGACGATGATTCCTTTGGTGCCAGCATGGACATGATGCCCGGCCACGAGGGGGGTATGGACCACTCTGCCGACTTTGCCATGACTGACTTGAGCACCACCACCAAGGAACCAGAAACCAAGACGGAGGAGAGCGCGCCGACTACACAATCACAGACACAGACACAGACACTGAATCCTCAACCTCTGTCGCAAGACGCCATGATGCAGGTAGATAGTGACAAGCCGTCGGCCGTGGTCCCTGTCAAGCCGGAAGAAGCGGCAGCCGCGCAACAGTCCAGTGAATCACAGCCTCCCAAAACGGAAGACGAGTCAAGAGAAATGGCACAACTAGCTCATGACAAAGAGTTTCTGAAAAGGTCACAATCACCCATCCCAGCAGCTGCCCAGCCAGTCTCCCAGCAGCAGCAGTTTGACCAGTCACAAGTGTCGCCAACCACCTTTCTCTCGTCCACGATTGACGGCACAATTTGCATTTGGGACCGCCGAGCGCCCAACGCCGTGGCCAGAATCGGTATGAGGCAGGGTGTTCCGCCTTGGTGCATGAGCGCGTGCTGGAGCCCCGACGGCAACATGATTTACGCAGGGAGGAGAAACGGCACAGTAGAAGAGTTTGACGTGAGAAAGGCAAAGAGAGGCTGGGAGCCTGAGAGGGCACTCAAGTTCCCGACTGGAAGCGGTGCAGTCAGCGCTGTGCGATCCATGCCTAACGGGCGCCATCTTGTTTGGTAAGTGTGTTTTCCGGAGCCATCATTATCACGCTCGTTTTTTTTTTCCTTCATGGAAACTCCAGAGTCACTGGCTAACCCCCCCGGTCTCGCCAGCGCATCGCATGACATCCTCCGGCTGTATGACCTCCAGGACACCCGGGCCTTGAAACACTCGACTGTCCCGTTCCTCATCATCCCCGGGCCCCCGCGTGCCGGCGTCATTTCAAGCTTGTACATTGACCCGACAAGCAGGTTCATGCTGAGTGCGGCAGGGACACGAGGCTGGGACGGCACAAGCACAGAAGTTCTAATCGGGTATGAGATTAATGTGGTTAATGATTAGTCTTGGTACAGTGCCGCGTTTGGCACCACCTGCCGCGCCACGCCACGCCAATATGCCTATAGTAATGTTAAAAATCGAACCATAGTCCCCTTGTAATTAGGGAGACGGCTAATTCAATTTTATTTTTATATTCCTTTATGCAGGATCCGTGCTCGGCATCCATCAGCAACTCATGATCCAACCGTCCGTGACCCCGTAGCGAAACCAGCCAATGCAACCATCCATCTCAGCCAGTAGTCTGGAGTTTGCTCGTCAGCCATCCTTAATACAGGTGCTTTTGTGTAGACTCAAAAAAAGGGAAAGTGTAGCGCGCCCAAGTTTTCGGGCGCTGCAACAAAGGAAATTCTCCTCCCTCCTGCAGTCTAATGAATTAAAAATAGCTACATAAACGCATTCACGCCGCTAATCTGACGGCTTTTTCTCGTTTTCATTAGCCAGCGGTACACGTGGGCAGATCAAGGCCGATATTACCCAAAACGGTAATTTTCCGGCCGACTCACCGCCGGACCGAACGGCCGAACGGCCGGGACTAGCGTTTCTTCCGCCCTCATAAATACTCCTCATACACAATTGTTAGAGAGAAAATGTAACAATGTACAATTCATCGTGGTTATTTTTTTTAGTCATGATGTATGTTTTACTATGATGCTGGTCCGATGACGATTTACGTTCCGACCTACGACTGGATTTACGAAAACACGTGGACCTGAAATGCTAGGAAAGGTGACCACTTGAAGCGTACTTGAATCAACTTTTTCAAAACATCAAAAACATCCAGTCTAACCGTCCTAGTGCAGTTGTTCTGCATCATTTGTCCTCTCTCGCTTCGTCATCTGAAAACTCCATGAGCCATTCCTCCTCCGCTTCTTCTGTAGCTGGTTGCAGCGGCGTGACATCCCACGCCAGCTGCTGCGAGATGGGGACTGTTTCCGAATCCTCGAATGACAGCAGCTCAATATCGGAAGCCAAGGACTCTGTTGTGTCTACTGGCCTTTCTGGCGGCAGGCTTGGAAGATTGGGGGTCCAAAATGTTAGTCTTACTTGGGGGCTTGGTGCGTCTTGGCTCTGGCTGCTTTCGGCAGCTCTGCTCTCTGGGGCCTGGATCTTTGGAGGGCTTTCGACATTGCGAGCCCCAGAGCTTTCAGGTCGGCCCCCCTTCTCCGAGCCACTGGAATAACTTCCTTTTTGGCGTTCCTTTCTTGGCATTTTATGCCGTGCATTTCGTAGTATTGGTTTAAATTGATCTGGATGGTCAACTTGAACCACGTTGTCTGTGTCTGGGTCGGGACATAGGGGCAATGACCGCCCTTGGTTCTCCCCAATCTGTCGTATAACCTTGGACCAAGTCCGACGAGGATGCCTCAGAAGAACTTCTTGATGCCCAAAGATGTACATTCCGACTCTTGCACGGCTTAATCCGACAATGGCACGGTTCTCTTGTGACAAGAAACCAGCCTTTCCGTTGGGTCCGCGGACTAGAGAGAGCAAGATGATGTCATTCTCCTCTCCTTGAAAACCATCTACAGTTCGTACCGACCACTCTATTTCCAATGATGCGAGTTTTTGACTGGCAGCCAGTTGCTTGTTGAGCAAGTCAACCTGGCCTCTGTAGTACGTGAGCATGGTGATGCGCTCTGGTGGGATATTTCCCAGAGTAACCAGATATTGAACAAATAGTACAATCATCTGAGCCTCTCTAAAGTTCTGCAACGAGGTGCCATTACAAATCCCTGGTTCTTCTGGCCAGTCATGTTGGAACCACCATAGTGGCTTACTGACACCAGAGACTTGGAGTGGCAGTTTCGATATGGTTGGCGTGTGGTCGACTAATTTTGGATAAAATAGTTGCACAATTTCTCGCAGGCATGGTATCATGCGGCGTTGTTGAAGAAGGGTCTTGTGTGGGATTCCAAGTTTAATGAGTCGTTCAAACATGGAGATATTAAGGCGGTAGGGGTCACTAGCTAGCTCTACCATGTCGACGTGTGGCTGTAGCTGCTGGTGATCGCCGAGGAGAATAAGATGCTCTATAGAGGGCAAGAGACCTGCAATTGTGTCGCCTTCGCGGACTTCTGCTGCTTCTTCCATGAGTAAGATTTGAGGTCTAAGGCTAGAAATGAGCTGTCGGTATTTCATCAACCCTGTGACCGTACATCCAACCACATCGATTTCGTCCGCCTGTATATAGGCGAGATCGTTGGCAACCTTGGTGCTCTGAATTGACGCTCGCGCCCCATTATAGGACTGAATAAGATCTGCCATTGAGGGGTGTTTTTTAGCATGAAGCCTTTCTCTTAAGTAATTGTAGACGACTTGTCGATCCTCGGGTCTGATGTTGTATAGATTGCGTGTCGTGTCCAGTAGATGAATGGCGCGATCTTGGGAGACAGAGCTGGCCGACCGATCTGATGATGTTGGTAAAGGTACGAAAAACACTCTCGATCCTTGCCAACGAGCCTGCTGTTTGGCCTTGTCATCCCGGCTTGTGCCGCTGTCTTCAAGTTTAGGTTGAGGCTTGCCAAGCCAATCCGCCAAGTCGCCTTTACCATCTTCATTCGACTCCCAATCGTCATTAGTGATTGAATAGTATTGATCCTCCGAGATCAGATTATAGTCAAAAAGTTCTTTGGCGTTTTCTATGTCATCGCTTGGTATAACAGCCTTGCGGAATGCAGCCATAGCCCGCCCAGCAAACGACCATAGCTTTCCTGCTGGCTGTGCTCGGTAGCTGACAGGTACGTGTGTCCTCCGCAACTTGGGTATCGTGAGCTTTGCAATAGCCTCATTAATACTGCGCCCACCGAGACGAACAACTTTCCCAGCCCCCGGGGTCTCCACGTATATCTGGAGTAGCTGATCCAAGGCGTGGTTCGTTTGAGCAGACACAATAACCGGTATTTTAGGTCCAGGGTTAATACGCGCCTCGCGGCACTGCCGCTGCGTTTCGACTAAGCTCTGCAGGATGACATTGGATGTAAAAGTTTTGCCGGTTCCTGGAGGTCCTTGGATAATAGAAACCTCCCGTGTTGTGGCCTCCGTGAAGGCATCATGCTGCGACTTGTCAAGACTTCTCGCTGTTTTTGGAACGGCTGGGTTTCCGTTTGGGGTTTCTTTGAGGTAGGGAGCATTCGGAACAGAATGAGGACGTGGTGAGAATAGGTACTGGTCCAAGAGACAACTGGGATGGTGTCAAACAACGCGACAATGCGCAGAAATTCTGATGAGAGATTACCTGGTCCTAGACATGTCTTGCAATCGCACCATTGTGTGCCTAAGAGACTCAAAATATGCATTCGTTGGCTCGAGCATTGCTAGATTAAGCATCGGATCTAACACGACGTAATCTTGTTTCCCCCAACAGATATCAATGCTTGGTGGGACATCACGCAATCCCTCGTTTTCTAGAACAGTGGCAACATAGCATGTAGTCTCGAAGCAGTCGCTAGACAGCACAAGCAAGGTCCCCGGGCAGAATAGTTCAAGTTCGTCAGGAGAGACGTCGTCGTCGTCATCCTCATCTCGGACTGGAGCATTCGGTATGATGAGTCGTTGGCCAGCTGTACTTGCTCCAAGGGCAAAGCCGGCAACACGAACCTAATCGAAATTTTATTAGTGACTTTCATGGTTCATGGGGGATCGCGACTTACTTCAGGGTAAACGTTGACTCTCTCCAACTTATTGGCTGCACTGCCCTCTTGCTCGTTCGGGCTTGATTGATGCCTGCGAGCCCTCCGCAGTGTTTGTATGGCCCGTCTTAAGGTCTCGGTGGCTTCATATCTGTATAACCGATACTGAGTCTCAAGAAACTGGTCTCGCAACTGGGGTCGGGCTTCAAAGTCGTTCAATGGGAGCCTAGGAGGCTCATTGCTCATAAATTCTTCTGCATCGGGGACCTCGGGCATCTGCCGCCAGTCGCGTGGAGGCTGAATAGCTGCATTTGTGCGGGAAAAGAAGTCGGAAACAGAGGATTCCATGGTAGAATATGATGGGAAGGAAATGACTGCAAGAAAAGGAAGAAGGGGACAAGAGAAAATGGACGTGGGCGCGTCCGTGTTAAAAACCCATAATGCTTGCCTTGCCAGCTGCCAGCTCAGCGTTTGCCTTGCCGGCCGGCGGCAGCTGATAGCAAACAGGTCCATGAAGACAAATGTAGCCCAAGATCGAACTATTAAACGAGAGGCCCTGCGTCTAGTTGTAGAGAGCTTGTATAGTCTTTAATTAATTTCTCATACATTATCTTATAGCGTGGTGTGCCATCATCAGTCTTGATTCAACAGAGCATCAAGCCATATCGACGGGCAGCATCACATCTTCATCCCTTGCGAGACAAGAAAGGTGGAAGGAGTACATAAAGACATATATCAGAGATCAAAACCCATTCTCTCTTGTCATGGTTCCAGTAAGTGACCCTCTCATATACGATGTCGGCGACAAGTCCACATGAAGCTCTCAGTTCGTCTCCGAATATCTCAAGATAGAACGCGAAAGAACGCAGTGACACAGGTTAGCGATTCCGTTTAAAATAGAATTTATAGTCTATGCCACTTACAGCCAGGGGATCACCGCGATGATTGAAGAAGGCTCTAGCAACTCGGGGCTGTATATCACCCTGATAAATTGGCTGCTGAACAGTGCCTTCTCATTCTTCAAACTTCTAATAAATAGTCGTTTCCACTACTTTATGAAAAGGTTCTCCACTTTCAAAATAAATACACAGAAACCTAGCGGCACATCACTTGGTTAAAAATAAAAATAATGTAAAAATTAAGAGAGAAAAAAAGTCCAGCACATTGCGCCAACCGAACCAATCGGCAGGTAAAACGTGGGCCAAAAATAGAAACGCTGCGTAATCTGGGAATCGAACCCAGGGCTCCCCGACGTTGCTCGGATGGCAACGGAGAATTTTACCACTAAACCAATTACGCTTCATACTAGATGGTACTGTAATAATAGCTATAAAGCCTTGGCAACTCGTCCTCCCCATTCCTTTGCGCTCTACTGTCGCCGACGGGTCATACGGAAAATACATCGAAGATCTTCACAACACGTTGCACCCTTGAGGGACGTCATAATCATATACACAGATAACAATAAATCCTACAACCGGCTTTTACAATCGGCTGTTTTCGTGTTTGCGCGTATATCTAGCACCCCATTGTTCTGGTCACGCTCTCAGGACAACAAAGTACCAGCTCAAATGACGAGTTCTTTCCCGTATACTCGGAAGTTATTTTGAAAGAGTTGACAAATCGATGGTTCGTAGCGAGAAAAGAGAACCCCCAGTACGTGATTGGATGTGATCATGTCGAACCAAACTCCTGCCGCGGCTCACAGGCGTTATAAACCACCATCATGCATCAACTTTAACATTCATATTCGTATACACGCGAGACACGTAGCCGCATTGCAAGCCATGCAATCATGCCAAATCCCTCCCGGTTCCCTTGCAAATAGAGCTTCCAGATCCATCCGCCTTGTTCAATGCATGCGCCCAATCCAGACCACATATCCGAGGCTAAAATCTACTCTATTCATGATGCGTTAACCTGGAAAAAGAAACAAAATAAAATACCAATCGCTCGCTTCCGGCCGTTGCGTTGCATCTAGTAAAACCATGGTATCATCCATCTGGCACGCTCAAAAGATAGTTCATGAGGGCCACTCTGCTAACACACGCCCGACAGGATGGACGCCGAGCCCGACACCGGTTGCCGATGCCAGTCCAGCTTCCCGTCGGGCAAGACGGTAAACTCGGCAATCTCCTCTACAAGCTCCCACGCCCCAGTCTCGGCGTTCTTCTGCGCAGATCGATATATGATGTTAGTGCCGAAATCTTCAAACACCAGCTCTCGTCGCCGCAGCCGCAGCCACTGCTCGTGTTCCGTCCCTTCCATGGCGGTTTGCTCTTCGACTTCTTCGTTGCGTATCGCTATTGCCCGGAATACTCGACTGTCACGGAGGGCATTCCGGATCGGGTACTGGCCCAGGATACGGATGGCGTCTTCGCGGACCGCACGGTCTCGACAGCTGAATGACGAAATAAAGAGCGGCCATGTCCACCCCGAGTCCATTGCAAATCCGCAATTCGGTCGGGCCATGAGCAGGGTTTCTGCGAGACGGTTGATTTCGCGGTACTGGGGCGTGAGGCCCTTGGCCGTGACGAGGCCGGAGAATCGGGGCACGGTGGTGTATATGTACAGGATGAGATATTCAATTCGCAGGTTGATTGCTTGAAGGTACGTCTGGTGGTCGTTGGTGGCGTTGCGGCCGATGGCCCGGTATACTGGCTCGTGAGCTTCAGCCCACCGGGAGATCCAGTATCTTACTTCTGCGATGAATTTGGTGATCTGAGGGTTCTTCTTGACGCTGGAAAGCTTCATGTCTAGCTCCACCTCGCTGGCTGCTCTCGTTAGACCGAGTTGTGAGGTCACCATGGTCAACATGGGGAGATGTGCAACCATGGCCTTCTGGACCAAACTCCAATATCCCTGGGCCTCGTCCAGATCCTTGAACACTTGTGGCAAATTATCCAGCGTAGTGATGTTCGATTGTCTCGGTCGAAAGTATGGAGAGTGTTTCGTAAAGGGCGCAATGCTGGCAAACCGTCGAGCGCCCTGGAGAGGCGAGTGACCGGGTGGTGTCCCTGGGTTGCTGCTTTGGCTCTGCGGGCTCGGTAGCCCCGTCTGAGATGCCAGTGTACTTGATGACGGTGGACTTTGCCATGGGGTTCCTGGATGACTTGGTGGACTGGGAATCGAGTGCATAGTATCAGAACTCGCAGCCGGACTGCCTTGGTTCGTCGTGGCAATCCCCCAAACTCCTGGTGCTAATGCGCCAGGCACAGCTTTGGTTGGGGTCGGCGGGAAGAAGAATTTCTTGTATGAACCCATGAAAGATCTCGACTGGAGTTCGAGTGGTTTGTAACAATCTAGAATTTCCTGCACCAGTGCTGGCGGTGCCGGCGCAATGCTAACCAGGCTTGGAGCGAGGTCCGTACAAGCAGCCAGCTCGTTCAACATGCTGAATCCGTGCGTGACATGCTTTAGAGCGGCAGGCATGTTTCCTCGCTGCGCCTCGAAACAAATAAACAAAAGGGATGATAGAAGGGCTGTTCGCAAGCCCTCCCTAGTAGGTTTAGCTTTCGCTTGTAGTCGCAGTGCCTCGCAGTAGTAGATGACAGCGTTGAGATAATGCTTGTTCCCGTTTGTCAGTGCCGTAGATGGACTCCCAAGCTCGTATGCCTTCCGCAATGCGCCCACAGCCATCGCTCCGTATCGCAATGCCGTCTCTTCCAAGGATACCTGCGGCATAGTCGTTGTCCACAAGCGCGTTTGATTTAGTCCGCCACTCAGAAAGCCCACGGACAGTTTGGACCATTCGTCAAAATACGCCCTCTGCTCGCTATTGGCAAAGCGGATGGTGTTGACGGCGGGTTCCGTGAGCAACAGCGGCGCTTTCTTTGTGTGGATGAGCTTAACACCTTGATTCGCAGCAGGAGTAGCTTTTGGAGGCTGAGACTCGGCACCATCGCTGTAAGCGTCACAGTAGCCACGCCACTTGAGGCAGTTCAGACATGCAGGTCTGGTTTCGTCGCATTTTACGTGTCGTTTTCTAGAAGAAAGTAAGTCTGGGTGTTGGTCTTCTCCCTTTGCATCGCAGATATTCCAGTGGGCAACTAGACGTAATGATGGAAAAATGTTTGGTATTGCCTTTGACTCACTTGCCTACACATTGACAATAATTAGCAAGGAGGCCTTGTTTCCAGTTTGATGGCGACTAAATGTGATGGAAGGAAGAGAGCTATGTACTTACAAGTGGCACAGCCGGTCCGGGCTCGCGTTGAACTTCGTCTTGTATGCCGTGTTCTAGTTTCGAGCGCAAACCTATGGGTGCTGCCCCGACCTGATGGCGGCGAGGGTTTCGAAGGTGATGACAATCCAGAGGACCTGTGGTTCCCAGTGTGTCAGTCCATGCAAGTCTTGGTCGCCAATACTATTGAGCCGATCGCGACTCGGCAGACATATCAAACGGAGAAAACTTACTCAGGAGACTTGCTCTGCTTGGCCGTATTGATGGGGAGAGAGAACTGGATCTCCATGACGCCTTGCGGGCCCTGAAGTCAGCTCTCTGGGCAATGTCTGGGTCGGTGATAGTGGTCTGTCGTTTCTGAGAGCAAGGCCTGGGGTCGTGCGGTCTGAGACGCCACAGCGTTGTATTGGAGAAGCACCTTGACAACCGAGTTTTCTCACTCTCTTCAGTGTATTTGGTTAGAAACCCCCAAGCCTCTCTCTCCGGATCGTTTATAGTGTGGCTGCAGGCTATAGTCTGTAGTGAGGCATCGGACCCCTTCAATGGCGGTCGAATTTAACAAGGAAGAAGGTTAAAAAGAAAAACAACCAACAGCCACAGAGGACGGCAAGCGGTGGCTCGATTCAAGGCACCACCACAAAACTCTATGCATGACGGGACGGGCATATTATCTGTCATACTGACATGTCGACGCGGCAGGCAAAGTCGAGAGCCTTGGGTTCATGGCCAATCATGGGGAAGGGGGCGGGGAGCGCGCATCCGGGGACGGGCCAAGGATTGTGGACATGATGGCATTGTTGAAAGCGACGGAGTCTTCGGAAGCTGCAGGACTCCCTGAAGGTTCCTTGGATTGAGGCCAATGGCTCAATTCACTTCCCCAGCATCAGACGCGGCTGCTTAAGAGAAGAGTTGTGCCGGATTGAGAATGAGTGTCCATTGAACCCTTCGGAGAAAAGAACGAGGGATCAGCGGAGAAATAACAGGTAGCATTGGGTGTCAAGGGATCTTTGGGCAATGTAGCATCGTCTCTTCTCGCCTATCTTGCTAAAAGAACTGTTGCCACGACAAGATATAACGACCGTGAGATCCACCAACCGCACGTTTGGGGCAACTCTAGCGGCGAAATTATCAAAACAGTTGAAAGGCTTCTTCTCTTGGACAAGGAGTCCTGCGGCTCTGCGGCTGCGTCTCGGCCACGAACTCCGGTATGCCTTCTCCGCAAGAAGCTGGAGATGTGAAATCTGCGCGTGAACCATGGGAGGATCCAACTCAGCCCATGCCTCCTCGTGTGCATTCAAGGTACTACCCGTTGGCAACTAGGTGGACTAGCCACTTAGTGGCCATAAAGCCCTATTCTTGTTGTGTCGGATCATGACCTCATACCCTTCCTTGCCAGATGATAGTACTCTCATCTATTCATAGATGCAGGCCATCAGCGACATGAGCTGAAAACAACAGCCGCTGACCACATGGCCCCGTAGCCATGCCAAGGGAAGTAGTGCCGCGGACCGCAGAAAGAATTTTGGGGGCTTAACACTATTTCCAATCACATGATGGCGTGTTGTAATATTGATTCTGACCAACACGTCTGATTGAGCTTAATGGCTCGCACGACGTAGTCCCGCGTGGCTGCCCCTTTTTCAGCGATCGAGAACGGCTCTTCCCATGCCACTTGTCAAGATGCAGCCAATAATTTGTGATTTTCTAGGGGTAGCCGTGGCAGACACAACCAGAGTTTGCGGCCATCTTGGAAGAACCGCGCCGTATGACTGTCCAACATTATCCAAGCAACCCAAGCCAAGTTGTTACGCAGACACGATTAACAACGGTCAAGGAGAAACTATGGCTTCGCTTCTTGATGAACGATGTCATTCGAGCTCTTCATATGTAAGACAAAAGTTCTTTAAACTGTTGATCCTGAAACCCATGGGCTGAATTGAATCATTCGGAGTCGTCGCGACGGTAGAGCTGCCACGGATTTCCGTACCAATGGGTGGTACATGTCTGATGCCAATTTAACTCGCGCTGGGGCTATCTCCAGTGTGGTTACACATCGCCTTGCTGCTCACAGTCCTATCCCAACAAGTAGACCAGTTATGTCCTGGCGAGTTCGAAAAAGACGTATTCTTTAGCACATGCACCGAGAAGCGGCAGGCTCAAATGTCTTGTGGCAAATTGATCGCCCATGGAGAGTGCCTGCACTATCGATTCATGGCAGTCGGCGGTAAACGGGCGATGCCATGGCCTGGGTTTTGACCGGCGCAGAAGAGCGAGGACCAAAGCCTTGGACTAAACTTGAATATTAGTGACATCCAACGGAATTGAGCTTCACGGCCAGGACTTCTCAGCTCTTCCCGCTGTTCAACCAGCGACCAGATCGGACGACGCAAGAAATACTGCGCCACTCAACACTGTCCTAGACGGGACGGCGAGAGCCCTTTGAATAGCTGCCGAGGGTTTCCGTGGGGTCAGTTAAGCACCCATACCGGCCCGTAAAAATGTATGGATTGCACAAGGGCGTCGAGATACGCGGGCCCATTAGAATGGGAGGGGGGCCAGGAAACTGTAGGAATGGGGAGAGCAAGAATATGCGCCACTTGTGGACCTCCTGGCGATCATCTTGATCCAGTTTTCCGGTCGTTACGGTCGGCCTGACATCAATTGCAGGTACGGAGAACCCTGCCACAGGAGTAGTAGTAGTAGTAGTAGTAGTACTCCGTACACATGAGTATCATGCCCGTATTGCAATCCTGATTACACACCTTGATGCGTTCTACAACATGCTCCTTCATAGCATGGCAGGTCGTTAACAGCTTGCTGGAATCACCTGCTGTCGATCATTAACCCTGGAAGTGTATATCGGATGAAGCCATCGCTACGGCCTGGGAGATGTCGCGTCAAAAGTCGCAAAAGCGCTGAAGCCAACCTGTGTGGCTTTAATCAAGGATGATAGTGCGGAGTACGGAGCGAGTCAAGCTGGAAATATGTTGCAGGGTCCAAAATTCACACATGGGATAAGTGTTTCAATATGCTCTGTACGGAGTACGTATTGGGCCGCCTTTCTCCATGACCCCTATTTCATGGCACAAAGTACTCCGTAATATTGCCGGATGGTGACTCTGTCATGTCCAATATTGGACCTGCCCCATCAGGGAAGAATTATACGAGATCCTATGGTGTGGCGCTTCGGAGTTTGGAGATCCCCTTAACAAGAATCGATAGTTAGACTGATGCAAATCCAAGGAAAAACAACATCTGGGTTTGCAAATCTGCACTACTCCGTAGGTGGCTTCATCTGTTAGGCGATAACATGACCAGCGTGGTGCGAAAGATGAAATTGTTTGGAAAGATTCGATTTTGGCCATCAGCGTGAAGTGCAAAGACGGTCGGTTCCTGGGATGCTGGGAAACCTAAGGAAATTAATTGCCACTCCAATTCAAATCCAGGAACTACCACTGCCTAGTACGGAGTAGTAAGTACTTGTACAGGCGCCCAAGCCCCTGGTTACTGGTGGGCTCAAGTACTGGCCGACATTGGCCCAAAGCGGCCGAAGTGGCTTGTGGAGCTCGTGTTTGCGGATGTCGTCACCCTCCATCTCGATGTTGGATGGACTGGGTGCAAAGGCGAGGCATGGTACGGAGTATTGCTGGGGGTCGAACTGAATCTTATATTGGCCGCCCGCACTCGATAAGGCTCATAGCCATTGGGGAAGCGGTCAAGTATCAGCCAGGCGTTTAATAAAGTTTGCATTGCTCTCAGGTTCCAATGCGTGTTTCTTACCTGGGACCCCGTAGATCTCCTGGTAGATCTGATTCATGGCCTGACCACCTCAGACACCCGCAGGCCACTCTCAAACACGCGAGCACCCACTCTGGATGCCAGACGTTGCCGGGGGGAGAGGAGGGACCAACTGCAGGCCTCGACATGCCACATCGTGGTACATATTTGAGGCGCAGCGACGACAAGTTGGAATTCGTGGGCAGGACCGTCAAAGGTAAGAGCGGCAGGCCAAGGCCAACACTTGGAGTTGGCAGAATCGAGAAAGGGGAGTTGAATGGCAGTTTTGGGAGGCGACGGTTGAAAAGTCCAAGGCCAGCTGTCTCCCATGGCCGTTGGTTGCATCGTATTTGCACAGCAGGTTGAACGGCGTGCATGAGGCGAGCGACTCCATGCACGGGGCATTGTGCATTCCAAGGCAACCCCCAGTCTCTGGTCGTGTCCGTCTCATTGTCTGTCTCCATCCAGATGTCCGGCTTGTGGTAAGGAAGAGTCGAGGGCTTGTCTCAGCCTCAATCACCGCACTCACCAGGGTCACGCCTCCGCCGCAGTGCTCACCCGCCTTCCCATTTGATTTGCGCTGTCCCTCGCTCCTTCCGTGTTCCTTTCCCCTCACACAACCAGACGTCGAATGCACAGGTGTCGTCGACGCTCGACTGAATTGTTCTCAACTCTCAAACCATCTTCAGCCCATCGCCGAGCCCGCTCTGTATTGACTCTACTTGTCATCGCAGACATCATTGCACAGCAAGGGGCCGTAATCGCTGCCCTGGGACTAGCGCGTGTAAGCTAGTCCGCCATCGCAACACGCCGGCCTTCCATTAGGGCAACACGCCGGCCTCATCACCGCAGCGACCGCCACCCCGTCACTCGCCCAACACCAGCGAGTGGCTGTCCCATCATCCAACTTGGCTGACGACACCCAACCCGCGGGCGCTTGATTTGTATTGAGTTCGACAAAGACTACGTTTCCGGCGACCATCAAACCTTTTTACTGCAGAAGTTGGCAAAATCGACTAGAGAGCAGACCATCGAGACGTTTCGAAACTGCTTCTCTTTCAACTCCCGGATCCAAAGGCAAGTGCTGCGGAGCATCCATCACATGTCCTCTCTGCGGCACTTCTGAGGCACTCCCGGCTTGCAGTAGTACATGGTCGCGGAGTCTGCCAATGAAATAGTTCGTGCTTCTCAATTTCTGGTCAATTCGTTGCTCCGTTCTCCTTCGCTGCCACTCTCACTTCACCCTGCGCCCTCTTCTCCGGCAGCCATCTCATTCGTAGGCGCGCGCCTTTCGACACCATAATACATTATAGACACCCTTCTGCCCGACATGCAGCGATACGGAAGGGACGACCATCAAGAGAGAGAGCCCTTAGGCGGCCCACCCGACTACAACACGCCCCCTAGACAAGCCGGCGGAAATGTCTACAATTATGATTATGCTGCTGCAGATTCACCATATTACGACGACGCCTCTCCGCCGCGACCGCAAGACGCATTCAGAATGCAGCAGCAACATCAACCTTACCAGCCATATCAGTCTTATGTAGGACACGATGCTCCGTCTGCCAGTCGTGGTTATGGCCACGAAGCGGTTGCACCGGCGCCTCCTCAGCACAATGATTTCACCGCGTACAATAGAGATCCTGCCCAGCATGGCCAGGATCACCCGTATGCGCAACACGTGGCCCAAAACAACATTACCCCAGGGGCCGACAACTTTGGCGAGCATGCATCTGGGGGCATGGCTGGTATTGCTTATAGCGTTGCTGATCACAGGGCTCATGAAGGCGGAATGGAGGCTGCGGGAGGCATCGGTCAACTACCTCCTCCACCATCGCGAAGTCAGTATCCCAATACGCACGATGCGGGATACAACAACTCACAGCCTGGTGGGTATGCTCCAGAAACGGTTTACAACCGTGGCCCAGGGCAACCTCAACTTCCCGCGCAGGGTTCTGGGTCAAGTCTCAATCCTTTCAGTACTCCCTCTGCCACACACTCCCCGACAAGAAGTCTTCGAAGTTTTGGTGGCGAGTCCTTTGGAGACGAGCCCTACCAAGCAATGCCAACAAACGGACACAGATACCACGACGCCAGCCTGGGAGTCGTTAATCCGAATGACATTGTTGATGACGGTGATGACGGCCTGAATTACGCACGGCACAGCCAGAGAAATTCGATGCTCAGTTTACCACACTCTGACCGAGCAAGAGCAGGGCTTGGTGCTGCGGCTGGTGCGGGCGCCGCTGGGATTGGGGCCGCGGCTGCTGCTGGAGGTATGTTGAATCGAAGCGGTAAGTTTCTATCCATGAAACGGCGGTTGAGTGAGTTAAGTCTTAGCAACTGACTCTTGGATGTAGGTCGCAGTGAGTCCGAACTTGCGCGCGAAAAGCCGGACAATTGGGTAGCGCCCGACAAAGGTCGCAGCAAGAAGTGCAAATGGCTCGTGATTATTCTGGTCTTCCTCGTAGTTGCCGGCGCCATCGTGGGTGGTGTTGTCGGAAGTATGATTGCTGGCAACAAGAAGTCTGGTGGTAGCAGCAGCGGCAGTGGTGACTCGGCGGCGGATGACACGAACAAGAATGGTGACCTCGACATCAACAGCAAAGAGATCAAGGCGCTTCTCAACAACAAGGACCTCCACAAGGTGTTTCCTGGAATGGACTACACACCTCTGAACACACAATATCCCGACTGCATACACAATCCGCCGTCGCAAAACAATATTACCCGTGACGTTGCAGTTCTCAGCCAGTTGACCAACAAAATTCGCTTATACGGCACCGACTGTAATCAGACTCAGATGGTGATTCATGCTGTCAATCAGCTTAAGATGCAGAACGATATCAAGATCTGGTTAGGCGTATGGCAAGACGGCAATACGACAACCAACACGCGACAACTAGCACAGATGTGGGACATCCTTGATCAATATGGCGAGAAACCATTCGAAGGCGTTATTGTTGCCAATGAAATCCTCTTCCGTAAAGAGATGTCTATAACCCAGCTCGGTACCGTTCTTGATGGTGTTCGAACCAACCTGACAACCAAGAAGATCAGCTTGCCCGTGGCGTCGTCAGACCTTGGTGACAATTGGCAGCAGGGTTTGGCCGATAAGAGCGACTACATCATGGCCAATATTCATCCATTCTTCGCCGGAGTGTCGGCAGAGCAGGCGGCGTCTTGGACATACAGTTTTTGGACTAATAGGGATAAGCAATACTGGAAATCTGAGACGTCGAAAAATGTCATTTCAGAGACGGGCTGGCCCAGCGATGGCGGCAAGGACTGTGGTGCCGCTACAACATGCGGCCCCTCAACGCCGGGTGCAGTCGCGAGTGTCGACGGCATGAATCGGTTCATGAACGACTGGGTGTGTCAGGCGCTTGCCAATGGCACCAATTACTTTTGGTTCGAGGCATTTGACGAGCCTTGGAAAATTCGGTTCAATGAGAAGGACAAGGAATGGGAAGACAAGTGGGGTCTGATGGACGTCAACCGCAAGCTCAAGAGTGGTGTCAAGATTCCTGATTGCGGCGGCAAGACGGTATAGCTGGGTCAGAAACAAAGAACGACCGACGCTGGGAAGCCTTTCAAAGCGACCACCAGCACTGGGCAGTAACTTGGCTGCTACATCACTTCGCCTCCACACGCGACACCATGACCAATGTTATTACTTTGACCCCGACGCCGAAAACATTGTTTACCAGTTGGTCCTTTTAGTTTGGTTACTTGGTTGCTTCTGGCGTTATGGAGCTTGTAGAAAATATGGATTTGACATCTTGTTCCCTGTGCATATACATGCGACTTGATTTGTTTTCTTTTCCAGGGAAGACGAGGGAACAGAGGTATTATACGTTTATTGTGTGGTATATCTTGTGGTTTGAAGCGAGCGGCATTGGCAGCTTTGCTATTATATGAGCGGACACGGCATTAGGCATTAGTATTAGATACGGATAAATACAAGACTCGGCTTTACTTTACCTTGCAGCACCGGGCCTTTCTCACCCTTTTTGGCATTTGCGAATCAAACTCGTAGCCAATGTACTATAACGCAAATGTTTGCATTGCCAGTCCTGTCGCTGAACGCCACGCTATTATTCATTGCAAATCATCAGGGCCTCCTTTGACCAAACCCAGCAACACCATTCATCTTCACGCATTTTTGTCCACCTTGTCCAACCTATCCACCAACTCATTCTCTGCTCTGCCATGCTCTTCTCCTCCGCCCTTGCTGCTGGCCAAAGCCCCTCTGGGCCGCCAGTAAACAGACGTGCTCGAAAACGTAATGCCATCCTCGGGAAACGCAAACCTCTCGTACCTCTCATGCATCCTCCTCACGCCCTGCACCGCCTCACGCTCCAGTAGCACCCTATTGCAATTTTCTGTCATTAGCGGTTAAAAAAAAAAGAAACATTAGAAAGGAAAGGGGGGGAAGAAACTTCAAAGCCAAAACAAAAACAAAATACCACCTACCCGTCCCACGTGTCCCAGTCGGTGCCGACAAACACGGCCGGCAGCGCCGCACGCAGCGCCTCCTCGTACAGCTCGCGATACAAGTGAACCCCGTACAGCAGCGAGTCGGCCGTCACGGCGCGGCACGCAACGGGGTGGTCGACGACGCGGTAGCCCATGCCGGTCAGAAACGTCCTCTCCGCATCCGTGAAGAGCGGCTCCTGGAAGATGCACTCGATCTTTGTGCCGGCAAGTTTCTCTACGCCTCCGTCAGTGCGTGCTTCGCCGTCTGGCTACGCGGGGGGATTACGTACCCAGCTCTTCGACCATGGTGAGGAAGGCGATGAACTGGCGATGGGTGCGGCGTTTGGACTCGCACGAGCCGTCGTGCGGGTCGAAGGTGCCGAGGCCGAGGCAGACGGCGCTGGTGACGGGGGACAGGGCCGGGCCGTGTGAGGCGACGAGCTCGCGGAGGGAGGTGCAGCAGGTTGATGACGCCCAGTCCCTTTTCGCGCTGAGGTGCTCTGCCCTGATGGCGGATGCGGACATTGCGGGTGCGGTGCGCTGGGGTGCTGGTGGCGGGGGAGGGCGTCTGCGCGTCTTTTTGGGCTTGGGGAACGTCCATTCTTGGGCGTCGGCGGCTGGCATTGTTTCTTTGGGGGGTTGTGAATCTCGTGATGGTTTGGTGGTGGTGGAGGTGGTGGTTGAGGATGAGTTTTTCTACAGGGTAGCTAGTTGGGGATGGAGATTGGGGATGGCGCGGGTGTTGGATGGCTTTCGAGTGAAATGCTGTTATCGACGCAGTTTACTCCGTAGACGCTTGGCTTCAATTGAATGTGATTTCTTCTCTGGGATTTTTTTGGCTCTGTTTCTCGTGCTGGTTCACAATTCGCCGTGGTTGAAGCTACCACCAGTTCTGTGGGCCTCACCGAGTGCCTGCGCAAAAGACTTGGCCCATCACCAACAGTGGACCCGCCGAAGCTACCTATCTACTTAAGTAAGGTTTATTAAATGCAGCTCGGCTGTCCATCCGACGGCGCCTTGGGGCTTAAGTTCCGGCTGCGATTCTCGACATCAACCGTAGGATTCTCTCCGCCCTTTGACCAGTTCGTTCCATGTCAGATGTTGCAATACAGGGGCCCAAGGCACCACGATAACCCGATATTCAAGGTCCAAAACGCAAGTGTATGCTGATTGGCTGTGTGGTGCCGCGCCCCACTCCTCCACGCCATGACGGGCGCTTAAATCGTCGCCGCTCCTCCTGCAGCCTCCAATCAGGCGTCACAATCCGGCCTTTGCACAACATTCAAGTCGCATCGTCACAATGCCTGCCATCCCGCCATCCTGGCATCTCTTGCAACCGCCGACGCTGGCTGCCCTCGACGGCCAATGATGCTGCTTCTCTCCGCCAGGGGGGACCGGTTTGACCCCCAGCCCTGCTTGTTTCCGTGTGCCGAGCTGCCAAATCAGATCCATCATCACCCAAGCTGCACGCTTCCCCCCTCATCAGTCTTCGCCGGCCGCCTTTGGAAGCCATTTTCTCGTGCCATGCGTAGATATTCCCCCGTCGTCTGGCCTGCGGGCTTCGAGACCCCCTCTCCCGATTCGTCGCTTGCATGCTGTTGTGCGTTTGGATAAACCGGCACCCTGTGCTTTGCCTTGTCAACTGCGTCCCTTTGCCGCCCATCGACAGAGTGTGGTCTTGCAGACGGGCCGCCTTTTCATATAGCTCCAACCTCTTCCCTCCTCGGCGCCTCTCTCTGAGCTTCATCTCCATGTCACTTGCCTGCCAAACCCTTACACCCGTCTTCGTCATCTTTCCCTCACCCGGCGCCTTGTTGCTGTAAAACGTCTCAGCTGGGCTGGCTCCGGCTACTACTAAAACGTTTTCTCGAGATCACCCTGAAATCGTAACCGCCAGCGTTGGGAAAAGAACCAAAAAGATAGACAAGTAAAACCACCTGAACCCTTGCGTTGGGGTGAGCATATACGACCTTTGGCCGACGGCGACGGCATCGTGCCAAAACTGTTACAACTGCTCCGCGACGTCTTCATAGTCTCCATCCGCCATGCTTCTGGTACTCATCACACTGGCCCTTGCGGCCACCGCGTCCGCACATAGCGTCATATCGTATCCCGGCTGGAGAGGCAATTCCCTCATTACAAACGACACCTTCCCCTACGGAATGCAGTGGATGTATCCATGTGAGTCTCCCCGCCCTCAAGCCCTCTCCCGCGACACCATCCACGCCTCCATCACTACGGCAAACAAGAATTCATGAAAATGGAAGAAGAAAGGACTAAAACACCGGCAGGCGGCGGCATAGGAACCACCAAAAACCGCACATACTGGCCCACGACGGGCGGCGCGCTCGCCTTCCAGCCCGGCTGGTTCAGAGGCCACTCCCTCGCCGTCATCTACGTCAACCTGGGCTTCGGCACCAACGGCCCCGATCACGGCCCCGAGAACATGTCCAACCCCATGGTTCACCCCTTCACCATCCAGGGTCCCACCAACAACCCGTACCCGGGCACCATCTGCCTCCCGCAGATTCCCCTGCCCATCAACGCCTCCGTCAAGGCCGGCGACCTGGCCACCATCCAGCTCGTGGAGCTTGCCCAGCACGGGGCCGCTTTGTTCTCGGTATGTTTCCCCCCCCCTCCATGCCGGGCGGCGCATCGACCGGAGGGGTTCACCTTGGTCAAGGACGAGGAGCTGGCATCTAACTCGGAGATTGTAGTGCGTCGACATCATCTTTGCCGACCCCGGCGACCCCAAGATCGGCGAGGTCAACGAGACAAACTGCTTCAACTCGACCGACATTGGCTTTGCCGAAATGTACACCATTGCTACCAAGATGTCTGGCACCGACGCCTACATCACTTCTGCTGCGGCGTCATTGCGAGCCCTCAGCTGGATGGGCTACGTGCCGCTGGTCGTTGCTGGCTTGCTGACTCTGCTGTAAACCAAAAAAAAGGCAGATTTATTTTGAGGAATATGATGCAAGTAATGGCATGAAAGAAGGGAATACCTCCTCCAACTAGGATATGGTATGCTATCGATTGATGGTTGCATTTTTTTATTCCCCTTTGATTTTATTTAAAATATCTTGACACGCGATATAGCATTCGCAAAGGAGTTTGGGCGCCGGCAGGACGAGTAATAGCATATACCATGCACATCTTCATAGCCCCCCTTTGCCTCATTGTAGGTACGAAATAAACTTCCCTACATCTTTTCATTTCTCAAGTGTCCATGTTCAAGTGTGCCCCCATGTCGCCAATCTGTGTGAGACACACGAGTGAGATGTCCTTGGCGGCAGTCCAACTTTATCCGTTGTGCCAGTCTATTTGATTCTCATTTGTCTACGATAAAAGCTAAAGCCCGTCATGACACCAAAGCTAGGCACTCATTCGCAACCGACTTCACCCTGTCCTCCGAACCTCGATCCTTTGCTCCACGAATCCATCCGCCAACGTCAAGACCACCGGCTTCTTGCGTAGATGTTGCCAATATGGTGCCCAGTGCCACCAACGCTCGGTATAATACTTCAGAATCGGACTGGCCACTGAGCACTACCCCAAGTACCACGAGGAGACGACGTCTCTGCTCCGGACTCAGCAGCTTTTCCTTGTTTATGAGCACCGACAGATTGACGGCTGCCGTGGTAACCGCAATCAATACGTTGCGATTGAACTTTCCAATAGCCTCTCCCCCCTTGACTCCAGTAATTCGTTCGAGATAAGCAATTGGCTTGTCAGCATGCGAGCTTATTAGACTACGTCCATCTGCGGTGCCAAATAGGTTTGCAACCGTACGGGCGCCCATCATGACCGCATTTTCATTCGGCTGGACATCAGCCGGCATAGAGCACGTTATGGCCAGGTCCAAGGCAGATCCGTATTGGGCATCTGACCACTGCGCGACCGAGGGGAATTTGGCGATACAACGAAACAAATCGAGCGCCGCGAGGCGATCTGAGTATGGCCATTGGGTCACACTTCTTACAACGAGTTCTATCGACTTGATAGGAATTGGTCGACCTGCCTCCAGGGCCTCGCGAAGCGACAACAGCACTGCTTCTTCGCCGGGATTCAAGGCGGCATCCTTTCGGCCGGACGAGACTAAGTTATTGTTCACACTTAATATTTTGGCGAACATGCCTATTGATGCGATTAGTGTCAGTGACGTAACCAAGGGTGGTTGGTAGAATGATATATATGTTTTCGACCTACCCTCATATTTGGCGGCTGAAATACTCAGATAGTCCTTTTGAGGGATAACCTTAGGCTGTGATTCCGCCTCCCCTGGTCGATAGCGTTTCTCTGTTCCATATGGATCTGGCCCAGAGCTTTGCGTTTGTCCTAGAGTTGCGCCCTTGGTATTTTGGGTGATGAAGTTGGCCACGTTGTCGAGGTAGCTGAGGGGTAATTCATTGTCGTTGAGGAACTTGGTCGCTCGCTCATAGGGGTTCTCAGACAGGTTATAGGGAAGTTTTAACGGTGGTTTACCGTCCTCAATATCAACATCAAAAACATAGTCATACGACTTTCCCTGATAGGCAACCTTGCGACCAGTGCTACCTACAGCATCAACCACAGTGCCAACACTGATCCATTGCTGTTGACTGACGGACCACTGGTGAGCTGTAACATTGCCGTTTTCTTCCTTGATCATCTGCACCTGGCCCTCCTTGGTGCCGGACTTGGTCGTCAAGAACTCAGGTCCGGGTAGCTTTTCCTTGTTGATGCTGCCTAGTTGCTGCTGAGGAATAGCCGAAGACTTGACGGACGCCTCGAATTCAGATAAAGTCTCCTTGTCGGCCACTTGGTCAGGTCTTCGAGTAAAAACGCGAGCGATGCTGTCACTGGCACCTGTGACAATATCACCAGTATCCTGGCTAGTAGACACTGTCCACACTGAAATGGCTGGGTGCGTAATGGTCTGAATACACTCGGTGCCTTTCCACACACGCACGGTACGATCTTCTCCAGAGCTAACCAACTCACCCGTCGGCAAGCTGGCCAGGCTATAAACAAAACTTTCGTGGCCGTGCAATTCCCCGACTTGCTGTCCATTCAACTTCCATAGTCTGATGGTCCCGTCGTTGCTGGCGCTGGCGATGTCTCCCCCGCTGGGGTGGTTATCGGGAATCTTGCAGAGGGCTCGTACAACATCTGGTGTATATATTGTAGATTTTGGTTGTACCTCGCCCCCAGTGGATTGAGTGAGATCAAATATGCGAATCTTTTTGTCGGCGCAGCCCGTGACGGCCGTTTTGTCGTCGAGGGCGACAACGCTCCAAACAGCCATACCATCATGCCCACCGAGAGTCAATACCGTCTCCCACTTTTGCAGATTCCAAATACGGGCCTGACCATCCCAACCACCAGAAAGCAGGTATGAGCCGCTGGGGGCTACGGAGAGAGTACAGACATTGTTCGCGTGACCAATCAGTAAACGCTCGGCGTGATCGGTTGAGGCGGCGGCTGGTGATTTGACTTCAATGACAGTATCCTTCCCTCCAGATATAATCAAGCCATTGGGGTGATCGGCAGACGGTGGGAAGAATGTTACCGAGTTGACATATTCGGAACCACGACTGACGAGTGTTCCTTCAAAGGAAGGTGGAGTTTGGGATCCTCGAGACCATTTGCGGACGGTACAATCTCTGGAAACGGATAGAATGACTTCGGGTGATGCGAAAGCGACAGATCTTACCTGCATAGAAGATGTTAGCTGGGGCCAGGACCTCAAAAAGCCCCGAAAGAGCTTGTTTGAGCCTGTCGGCCATTGGTAAAACCTACATCTGCTTCATGGCCGATGAGCTGCGCGGACAGCTTGAAGTCTTGGGCCATCTTGGCAGCTGCGGCTTGAAATTGGTGAAGGTGGTTCTCCTAGCCTGTTTGCACAACTGTTTCGATATTGCAGAGCGCGAAAGAACAGGTATGTAGTTGCTGATTATTCAGTGACGTCGACGTGGTTGGTCACTGGCGGAGTCGGAGCTTTGGTGGAGCTCTCTTATTGGAGCAAGAAGGAGACTGTTTTAATACCCCGCGCCTGGTAGCACGGAGCAAATGGGCCCAATGTGCACAAATAATGACTGGAAGAATCAAAACACAGCAGAGCATCAACGCTTGACGGAGGCAGAACGAGACATGAGTCAAAGCCACAACTGGGAGGCAAAAGTTGAACGGGGCCGAGGTGAGAGGTGGACGTTGATGGAAGCTTGGAGATCTCAAGAGATGGTGATGTCTGATAGGCCAAGGTGCTTGCGTCTAAGTAGGTACCTGTACCTGGTTCCTTAGTCAGTGCCACTGGCTAACTGCCCGGATGGCCATTCACGCCTTCGGTACGGAGTACTGGGTACCTGGGGTGCGAGGCACTTGGCTTCAGGAGAGAACTGAGGGGAGGAAACTACCCCGCCAACCGCCTCATGTGGCTCAACAAGTCTTTGGCTGGTCCCCCAGCCCCGTTGCTTCCCTTGCCCTCTTGCCCTCTTGCCCTCTTGCCCTCTTGCCCTCCGACAATCAACCTCCTGCTCCGGTGAAGTGGTGCCGGTACATGTAAGGACATGAGGTCTGGTAAGGAGTACTTTGTAAGAATCTACGTATCTTCATATGTACCAAGTTAAATAAATTGAATGGCCAAATGAGTGCAGACAGCGCCCATGTTATTCTTGGACGTCGCGACAGTAAACGCCTTCCATGTTGCCATGTCATGCGTGTCAGAGGGTTCAGGCTCTTGAGTCTTGTCCGCTTGCACCTGCACTTTTCACCTGGCGCCCCATGTCATGTCCCTCGCTCCTTCTTGACTCAAGTCCGACAGCCCCACGCTTGCTTCTGTTTCGCCCACTGCCGAAACGGCTAGATGCTGTCACGCCAAAAGTCTCGGCTCAACTTTTGGAAGCCTCTCCCAGAACTGTGTTCATCGCCGCTTCGTCTTTCCACTCTCCTTTCACGTCCCGTCCGCTCCCACAACATCCGGCCCGTGCTGGCTTTCGACGGACTCGTCAGTCGCTGTCACGTTCATTTCTTGCGGACGGTGGACGAAATCGCGCCGCTTACCGAGTCCTCGTTCTGTCTCTTCTCGCCCAACCGTGTGGTTTAACCTCCACGCCTTTCCTTGTCTCAAGACTCTTTGCTACGCATCTGACGATCACGATCTAAACGACACTGCATTTTGCCATACACTCTTGCAAGAATTATACCACTAGACAATCCTTGCGGTTGCCGCGCTTTTTCTGCACCGTCAAGCTCGCAGCGGGACTCGACTTGCCTTTAGAATTTGAACCCACGTTCGAAATCAGCAAAATCCCCTGTACACTAGACCATATCTCGCACCATGACTTCCGAAGCTCCTCGGCAGTATGTGCCGCTGACCTGCCATGGCCATTCTCGCCCGGTCCCCCACATGAGCTTCTCTCACCTGGAGAAGGAGGAAACATACTACATGATCTCGGCCTGTAAAGGTTGGTCTAGGCTGCTTTGTCGTGGCTGCATACGACCCGAGAACATGGACTGACGACTAACTGTTGCTATAGATGGAAACCCGATGCTTCGAGATGGTGTTACTGGCGATTGGTATGATCTTGCTAAAGGATTTGAGCCCTTCGAAAGCCGTGTTAACAAGAAAGACAGGATTGGCACGTTTATCGGTCACAAGGGTGCGGTCTGGCAAGCCAGGTTGAGCCCCGACGCTTCCAACGCAGCCACTGCATCGGCTGATTTCACAGCGTACGTTTTATACTGTTCATATTTCACAATACCTGGGCTAACACTGGCTCGTCATTCAGCAAAATCTGGGACACCCACACCGGAGAGGTGCTATACAGCCTCCAGCACGATCATATTGTCCGAGCTGTTGCCTACCCCCCCGATAACTCGGATCTTGTTGCGACTGGTGGCATGGAAAAGAAGCTTCGCGTTTTCGACCTTGCTGAACTTGCCAAGACGTATCCGGGAAAAGCTGCCACCATTCCCGCCTCGGCCGGCTTCGAAATCGGGGAGGGTGTTCATACTAGCTCCATCAAGTTCATTTGCTGGACAAAAGACCCAAACATTGTTGTTACGGCTTCCGATAAGACCATCCGTTGGCTCGACCTGCCCAGCAGATCGTGCATCAAGCATGAAGTTCTTGATGGGGAAATCAAGTCATGTGAAGTGGTGTCGGTCGCACAGGAGTTAGCATCACCGACTGACATTGGTGGCGGAAAGCCTGTTTTGGCTGTCTCTGCCGGCAAGACGGTGTATTTCTGGGGAGGCGATCAAGCCATGGATGAGCTCAAGCGCATTGTGTTGCCATATTCCATTGCTAGTGTCGGGCTGGATGTCAAGGGCCGCAAGTTGGTGGTTGGCGAAGAGCCTGGAACATGGGCCAAGGTGATTCGATACGACGATGGGGTTGAACTCGATACACATAAAGGACACCACGGGCCGATCTGGTCCATTGCCTTTTCACCCGACAGCAAACTGTATGCCACTGCGTCCGAGGATGGAACGATCAAGATGTGGAAAAATTGTGATGGGTTTTACGGCTTGTGGCGCGGTGGTGCTACTACTGAACGGTCCGCGGAGTAGAGCGAATCAGACCGAGGTACCAATGCCAGCGCAACAGCCAGCCGAGATGGCTATCGCGGAAGCCATAACCTGAGGCTCTCCGGCGGCAGCAGCAGGGAATCAGAGGAAAGCACTGATTTCACCAGCGGCTCGGGCGACAGTACTTTGCACACGATGACAACCTCGAGTAGGGCCACTAGCGCCAGAACTAGCGAGGAATACGGTGCAAAAGAAGCATGCGAGGTTCAGCGAGTTTGATGTGGACCTCGGCTCTTGTGCTTGTTTATGTGAGAGAATGCAAAAAGGCGAAAATGAGGCCATGTTAGCTTGACCGGAGTCGTGTATCTTGTTTCATGGGAGGGGAGCCTAGTGTGGCCAAGGTTTTAAAAGTAGCCGGCTAAAATCTCATAGAGAGCATAGTAGTTAAGGAAGTCTGTATGCATAATACACAGCGTATTGACCACAAGGGGTATTGACGGTAACGAAGTGAAGAAATCCAGTTTTTTTTTGACAAAATGCCTGTAGTCGCGGCAATCCTTTGCGAATACAGAGTTACGTCGAAGGCTCTCTGCCTCGGTGAAGACGGGCATTACGCTGTAGTCAGTCAAGGATTAAGATTGGCACATGTGCGACTAGCTCGACGGCGCTTTTTGGCGACAAGGCCAGTGTAGCCGTCCAAGGCTCGGTACATGTAGCTGTAGGCAGCCATGGCTCGTTAGAAGACGCGATACTAACACGATGGTAATTAAAGACCTGGCGTTCAGTGGGACCTGGGGCCTAGAGATATGTCCGGTTGAAACGCCGTTAAATAACGGAGAAGCTTACCACGGAGAAGTAAGATCTACGATACGGGATAGTGTGATAGCATAAAAGGTGTCAAGGTTTATGCAAAGATATTCTGCCAGGATGACAGCAGACACCCCACGAAGGCATCGCGATATCAGACGTCGTGGAGGGGGGCTTTTCTGGCTACTGTTTATTTTTTACCAGAGACCTTGTTTGGTATCAAAGACCCTTTGCGTTTGGGAAATATCAACCAAGTAGTCGGTTATTCGCGCGGACACCCTAGGTTGCGGGAGCTTGCCCATCTCCAAGTGTAATCCGAGTGTCTGACGCAGGGCCCTTTGCACATGGTACAACTATACTGTAATCACTTCTGCTCCCCAAAACGGTCATAGGACACTGCCTGGCCTTGTTTTACGCGCCATGATGATGGACACACGGTGTAAATACCTGACTGTTGGATCACATAGGGCGAGTGAAATATCCGCCACTGACAACACAGGACAGCAGGAGTAGCTCATCGTCAAATCACCGCCATGCACACCTTTGGCGCCTTTGTCGTCTGTCTCGTAGCAGCTAGCCTTGCTACGGCTCTACCTGCCGACAACCATGGCAGGGCGTCGGTACTGATCACTCATAACCGCCGCTTCAACGCCTACGTCCGGACCACTTGTCCTTGTTGCCAAGGCCCATTGCAAGTTCGACAAGCCCGTCACCTGGATGTTGCCGCCTCCTGCTGGAGGATAATATCGTGAGACTAGTATGCCCAGGTCGGCGGTGCTCAGTATGATAACGTCCAGTCGGCTACACGTTTAGCTGTGGCACCAGGTCTCCTGACTTGACGTTTGGCATCGAGAGCTCGTGTATTACCATCCTCGGGGGGTATATGAACTATGCCTCCGTGGATGTGTCAGAGAAGCGGGGAAATCGGACCTGACATTGTTGGCGACGTTGCGCTCAAGCTGGCCTGGCGGTGTTTGATGCTGGGAACATGCGCTTGGATGGGCTCCTACGTGAGGTGTATACGGACGAGTTAGGGAGGGAGGGGTGAGGGAGGAATATTCTGCTTGGGCATACAAGTTTCGGCTTATAGACAAGGTATAATTGCAGCTGTGTAAGAGATGGGACGAGTTGGACCGGAGACGATGGGGCCTCGGCGTCCGACGACATACCGTCAGGCGTACTGTGTTTGACCGGAGGATTGAATAGTATTACGGAATTGTACAGACTTGCATTTTTGGATCATAGCTGCCTCAAGTATGAGCCAGTCCTGGAGCATCTGACCTCGGCCTCGAGGATGGGTATATATGAAGGTGTAATGTCCACAACAACTGGGACATGTCTGCATTCGTTGCCTCTTGTTTAGGCAAACCATCAATATATAGATGTGTGATTTGTATTGGGTCGTCTCCCTTTGAGTACGTTGTCTGACTCTATACCCACGCAGCCTTCTGTGAGACGCCAGCCACGCTATTCTTCACTTCGTGTTGATTCATGGTTCTCACCATCCCGTATATCTGCCTTCTTTGTAGCCGTCATTACTCTAGGCAACAGCAGGCAACAGGCTGATAAAAAGTGCACACATGTGGCGACTTGTCGTTGGACGGCTCATTGTTGACCAATCGTCTTTCACGCTTCTCCATCGAGTGCGCCTCGAACAATGCTACAACTATTAGCTGAGAATGGACCTGTTCGGCAACCAACAGCCAGTGGCTCGCCAGCCCTCACTTGGTGGCTGCTATACTTTTTCTTCCTTCTTAGTTTTCTACTTAATTTAACCTTTTACTCCATGTAAATAATTCTGCAGGCATCGTACAACCACTACATAAGGCGACAATATAAACGCTTCACGATACGCCCGATACTAACAGGATTAGTGATTCATCACTGCACGCCGTCTAGGGATATCTCGTGATATTATCAACCACTGATTACGTGAAAGAAAGATATAGCTCATGTAAGTGACTCACTGTATAAACTTAAAATAACCGCACAACATATATTAACGCGGTCTACCCTCTACGAGTCCCTTCATCTCTTCATCTCTCCATCTCTTCATCTCTTCCAACATCAAGAGCCCTGTTACAACTACCAACTACTCGCAAGTCCTCACTGCAAAGCTCCCCGAAGCACCGCCATCTTGCTGACATCGGTGCAAATAGTCAAATCATAAAGTTGACCGCGTGGATCACGTCAGACTCGTCTGCTATACATATATAAGAGCTGTTGGTCGCTCTCGTTGTCGTGTGAGTTCCTGGACTCGTCGTCCTGCAGATTTGTTGCCGAGGCGCCCACGCTTTGCTAAAATACATCTACACCCGCCCATAGGTCTTAATACCCACGCCGCTTTATCAACCTGATCATGTCAGACCAAGGCATGCTGTGTGGGTGCGTCGTCGTTGCCGACAAGACGCAGCGCTACCTCGCTCTCTCGGCTACATCTGCCCACACCACCATTCTTTCCACCACGTCTCGCACACGTCTCACCCAGACCTATGTCAACAACACAGGCTCTCTAGTCAAAGAAGCACGGTACATGTTTCCAATTTACGACGGCGTGTCTGTTGTCGAGTTCACGTGCACCATCGGGCCAAGAGTCATCAGGGGCGTCGTCCGTGAACGCCAAGAAGCAAAACGCATCTTTGACAGGGCCACGGCACGAGGCGAAGCCGCAGGCTTGCTGGAACAGAGTCTCTCGGCGTCGGATGTCTTCATCGCAAAGTTGGGAAATGTGCCTGCCGGTGAAGAGGTCAAGGTGGACGTGACGTATCTCGGGGAACTGGAGCATGACGCTGAGATTGACGGGCTGCGATTTACCATCCCAACGGCTATTGCGCCGCGGTACGGGTATCACGCATATCGAGACCTTGTTTCGGCGCCCGAGGTCAGAGTCCAGGGGAAAATCGCCGTCACGGTCGACATTAATCTGGGACCGGGGTGTATTGTCAAGTCGGTCCAGTCGCCTTCACACCCCATCTCTGTCAGCATCGGCACAATGAGCGCGAGTGCTTCGCAAGATCCGTCGCCTCAGATGGCGTCTGCATCGCTGTCTCTCGGTTCCGCAGAGCTCGAAAAGGACTTTACCCTCCAGGTCGTGGCGACGGGACTCGGCGCGCCGGCCGCTCTGCTCGAAATCCATCCTACCAAGGCTCACCACCGTACCATCATGGCCTCCCTCGTCCCCAGATTCAACCTGCCTGTGGAAAAGCCAGAAATAGTCTTCATATGTGACCGCAGTGAAAGCATGGGAGGAGGTAAAACGATGCCTAATCTCATCTCGGCACTCAACATCTTTCTCAAGTCCCTGCCAGTCGGGGTTCGGTTCAATATTTGCAGCTTCGGGTGGGAGTGCACCTTTCTCTGGCCGAAATCCGTCGACTACACCCAGGAAACGCTGGACGAGGCTGTCCGCCATGTTGAGACCTTCAAAGCCGATTACGGCGGCACGGAGATGCTTGCGCCTGTGCGGAAAACATTTGAGAAGAGAATTCAAGCATCCAACCTTGAGGTATTCCTCTTAACGGACGGAGAGATATGGGACCAGGACAGACTGTTTCACCTCATCAACCACGAAGTGGCTGCAAGCAAGGGAGCCATTCGTGTGTTTACCCTTGGCATCGGCTGGGGCGTGAGCCATTCGCTGATCAATGGCGCCGCGAGGGCTGGCAATGGCTTCGCCCAAGTTGCCGGAGAAGACGAGAAGATTGACAAGAAGATTGTTCGAATGCTCAAGGGAGCACTCACGCCGCATGTTTCGGACTACACCCTGGAAATCAAGTACGAAAAATTCGAGCAAGACACTGCCCCCGACAGTGACACCGCAGCAGATGAGTTTGAACTGGTTGAAAAGGTTGTGGATTCGTTGACAATTGATGATGCCGAGGAAGAAGCCGAAGAGCCCGGGTCCAAGGAAGCCAAGCCTCCAACCTCGCTCTTTGACCCTAGTGTCAAGAATGAACATCTCGAGACCAAGGACGCCTCTGAAGAACTCGACTCACTCGAGACGAACCTGCCACCGGTCGACGCTCCAAAGTACCTGCAGACGCCGTGGCCCACCCCGGCGCTCTTCCCATTCAACCGCACGACAGTGTACATCATGCTGTCTGACGAAACGCCTGCGCGAGAGCCAAAATCCGTCGTGGTAAGGGGTACGTCTTGCCAAGGACCGCTCCAGCTCGAAATCCCAATCACGAAACTCGGCCAAAAAGCCACGACGCTGCATCAGCTGGCGGCCAGAAAGGCAGTCCAAGAGCTTGAACAAGGCCAAGGTTGGCTCCGTCACGCCAGGGATGCCCAAGGCAAGCCGCTCCGGGAGAAATGGCCCGGCAAGTTCCCCCAGGTCGTCAAGAGAGAGGCTGTTAGGCTGGGCGTAGAGCACCAGATTGCGGGAAAGTGGTGCTCATTCGTGGCCACATCGTCGGATGCCAACGAGGAACAGGAGGCTGGTGACGATTCTTCCGCGGCACTCGACGAGGCGGACGAGGCTGGGGATGATTCTTGTGCGTCACTCGACGAGGCGGACGAGCTCAGCGATGACGATGGCGTTTCGTATAAGCGCCCGGTTGGGCGTGGCCGTCCAATGGCGACAAAGGCATGCAGAAGAGCGACAGAGCCTGTAGAGTATGACGACGACGAAGAAGAAGAAGAAGAAGAAGAGGAAGAGGAAGAAGCAGAAGAGGAGGAGGAGGAGGAGGAGGAGGAGGAGGATAATGTTGGAGTTGCCAAGGCCGAGCCTGACGCCTTGTCCCTCTTGGCAAATCTCCAAACATATGTCGGCAGCTGGACATGGAGCCTGCAGCTCGAGACTGTCCTTGGCATCACCAAGGCCGAGGCTGTAAGCGCCATCCAATTCCCCATACCGGCGGACGTGGAGGATGTTCTGGCCACGCTATGCGCCATCGCCCACCTCCAGAAGAAGATGGCTGCTGACAAGGACTCGTGGGAGTTGATGGTGGACAAGGCACGCAGTTGGCTGCAGGACCAAGTCGGTCGGATCGAAGAGGAGCTAGATCTGTTGGGCTACAATGGGCCAGTTGCTTGGATGAGAATCTTGATGGCACTTTCTGTTCCCCCGTATTGAGAAACGCTCGGCGAGGGTTAGGGTACGACGGGCAATTTGGCCGGGTTCGCCTTGGCTTCCCGGTCCTGACAGGGATTTGTTTGCTGAGTTTTACCAGCCAATGCCGGCTTTTCTCTTAAATTGTGCGTGTCATGATGGGGTCCATATCTGCGTCCGGGGGAGACAAAAGGGGCCATGGGGCGTTTCCATGGAGGCGTGTTTCGCAGGTCTCAAGGATGACATCGCTCCCTCGGTAGATTGTTTAACATGTAATTCATGGTAATATACTTGAGTTTCCACAAGTGTTGGTCGTTTGTCTCGGAGAGGTTTGCAGTCCACACATGATATATCACTGTAATAGCCGGCCAACCATGAATGATTATTATATAACCCTGTACGACGGCTCTAGATCAATAGATGGGGCAAATCGTGTTCTGGAGTCCGGGCTGGACGCACTTGAGCTGAATTCAATGCGGCGTCACACGTAAATGTACAACCGCAAAGCTTGTCGGGATTCGAGATACCACAACCCTGCCGCCACGGCATGCTGGTCACGACTCAAATATCGTGCTGAGAAGCATGACTACCATCATAAACGATGTCTGCGCGATTTCACAGCTAAAACAGTCCCAGCCCCATCTGGGATCAAGAAGCGGCGTCGCTCCTTCAACGACCTTTGGCCGGCGTAGGCCACAGCGCTTGAGAATGACGAGGAACAGCTGGACCACGGCGCCATGCTTATTAGTACAGTTCCTTTGACCATGTTTACTATTTTGCGCGAGGGAGATGAACGCACCGTTTCTGCCACGTCTTCCACGGCAGCGGCGACGTAAAACAGCAAGGCGAAACTGCCGGCGGGCCCCTGGTTGTTAGGCAAATAGTAACCGACGATGGAAAGGCAGGTAGCCTTTGCACCATATGACCTGATTAAGAAGAGGTCCAAAATAGATATAACAAACATCAATGTTAGCATATAAGACAGCCAGACCGAGTAAAACTCGACGATACCGCGCCGACGTGATCCCAAATTGCGGCGTACAGCTTCCATGAAGATTCCCACGCTGCAAGGCTCGATGTCTTGCCTCTGAGATACGTGTAGGTTAGAACGACTCTGTGCCATGTATATTGTCGGGGACCCTGCTTCACTTACATCCTGTCTGACTGATTCCAAGGTGCCCGCGACCTCGAATGCCACGCAGCAGTGGACAAAATTATTGGGCTGAATCACCCCCACGGACGGAATGTAGAAATATCTGGAAACGGATCCCAAGGAAACCAGTAGGGCACCGGAGGCGATGTAATATAGGCGTGGCCATGGTTCGGGAGACGGCCCTTGCACGACGAGCGTGACGAAAAAGACCAGAAGAGGGACGAGGAGCGCTTGGAAAAGAACCTCGGGAACCCCTAGTGTCAGGGTTGAAGCCCGATACATGATGTTTGCTGCGTAGGCAACGGCCCAGTAGGCGACGTGGTATTTGAACGAGCGCATTCTGCAGTCTCTTGTCGTCGTCAAGTCGTGCTATCACCGTTCAAACGGGACGGGGAACGAGGAGACTGGCGTGCTTGACACACGACAAGTTTTCAAGTTTGCTAGTGTGAGACTCGGAGTCGTTTATATACAAAGTTAGGTGATTTAACATTTGAAGTTGTGTTTGGTAGACACCACTATTTACGTAGTTTGAGGCTATGGTGTGCCGTAACTCTATTCAACTAGATTTAGCTTTAGAATAAAGCTACTATTATGCCGGGTTGACGGGATCCGTCCAGGTACCGCATCTCTAGTTGGTAAGCGCCTGAATAGTGTTAGGGTCGATGACGAAAGGACTCGGTGCACAGCTCGACGCATTACCTACGTCCTTTTTGAGAGGAGCAAGTTTCCTCACTCTTACAGGATGTCAAATGGTCTCGCAGGGACTCAAAACGCAAGTACGTAAGTGACTTGTGCAGACATCTGAGGGGTATGGGAGGGCTCACAGCAGGAGCCAAAACGTATTTGACGTCAACAAGTGCCTGGGTATCGCGCTTTATAATATAGCATACCGTAATATACTCGTGTATACCGGTTGATAGGCAAATATATTCTGCCATCGGTTGCACATGTACACCACACGTCCGGCTTAAGCGCTAACAGGTTGAAGCAACGCCATCGGGAACCCGAAAATCGTCCATGACGGGATTCGGACAGTCCATTATTCAGTCGTAGATTGCCGTCTGACTTGAGCCGTCGGTGACCGGTTGTTGTACCAAGGCGTGAGCGATGCAACGTAACCATGCAGTTCATCTCCAACCTCCGGCTGGCGTCCCGACCGTCTAGCGGCATCTGGCTCTTGAGTCCCCCCGTAATCCGTCAGCTAATCTCGGAGCGCTTGGAGAAGCCCATTGCCCAAAGATAGCCATAGCCCGGGGCTAGATGACCTCGTGTGCCGGTTGTTTTGCCCAATGTGGGGGGCTGCGATATTGAGAGTACAAGACGGCGGAAACACGGGTCTATTCATGGACGGGAAAATGATGGAGACTTTGGAAGCTAAACTCCTGCATGCCATCTGCAGTGCGCCTCAACCCCGGAATCATGACAACTAGAAGTAACGTGGCAAGGCCATCACCCTCGGCCCCCAACAGCCCATCCATACTTGAACCGTGTAGAGGCGGTCCGAAAGAGTATATATGTCGATGCATCGCGCACCTCCAACTTCTTCCCCGCTCCCAGCTTGGCCCTGCTTTGTCGAGGCGTCATAAGCGGCCAGGTTGAACCGGCTGCTGATGCCCAAGTCGGAGCAGAGCACCGAGCAGAAAACACGCCCCATGGCCGACGTCGATAAGAATCCGGATGAGGGCCTCGCGCACCACGACTCAGCGGCATTGCCGCGCAAGTCAGCCCCTGCCGACCCCGAGCTCCTCGAGGCTATCCGCGCCGAGCATCAGATGGGCTTCCTCGAGGCGTTGAAGCTGTACCCAAAGGCCGTTGGATGGTCCGCCTATGTATCCCTGGGTGTCATCATGCTGGCCTTTGATCCGCAGCTCATCGGCAACTTGTACGCCATGCCACAGTTCCAAAAGGATTTCGGATATCCCAGCGGCGAGGGGGTAAGTCGAGCGTCTTGGAACCTGAACAACGACAAGTCAACCCCCTACACCCACCAAGTCTCGAGACTCTACTCGGCACTCAGCGAGCTTCAGCTAACCCCCCATCGCGTAGTACATCATCAGCGCCGCGTGGCAAACCGCCCTCTCCATGGGCAACCCCATAGGACAGGTCGTCGGAGCATTATGCGCAGCCTACCCCATGGACGTGTTTGGCCGCAAGCGCACCTTTGGCGTCTGCGTCATTCTCGTCGCCGGCCTCGTCTTCATCCAGTTCTTTGCCCGCTCGCTGCCCGTCCTCCTCGCGGGCGAACTGCTCGCCGGCCTCGTCCTGGGCATGTTTGTCGTCATCGCGCCGGCCTACGCCTCCGAGGTCTGCCCTACCGCCATCCGCGGCCATCTCACCTCCTTTGTGAACCTGTGCTTCGTCATCGGGCAGCTCCTCAGCAACGGCGTCACCGCCGGCACGCAACGTATGCACAGCCACGGGGCGTACTCTCTCCCCTTTGCCCTGCAGTGGTTCTGGGTCGTGGCCATCCTCCCCGGCATGCTGTTTATCCCAGAGAGCCCGTGGTGGCTGGTGCGCAAGAATCGCACCGAGGATGCGGACAAGTCGCTCCGGAGGCTTGCGTCGCCCGGGGTCAACGTTGCGGCTACGTTGGCCTTTATCGTGGAGACGGATCGGCTGGAGCAGGAGATTGAGGCCGGCAGCACGTACGTGGACTGCTTTACAAAGGTGAATTGGCGAAGGACCGAGATTTCCATGGGCGTCTACTGCACGCAGGCTTTGAGCGGCATCTACCTTGTCAACTATGGCACTTACTTCTTCCAGCAGGCAGGTCTCCCGACCGACCAGGCCTTCAACATGTCTGTTGGATTCATGGGTACGTGAAGACGTCGTCAAACGCAAGGTTCCGCACTGACTGTTGGCAGCTCTTGGCCTCGCTGGCACTATTGTCTCTTGGTTCCTCATGGTCAGATTCGGCAGACGAGTCTTGTACAACTACGGTCTCGCTGTGCTCGTCGTCCTCCAGTTCGTCATTGGTATCCTCGACTGCGTTCCCGGTCGGCCGTCGGGTGCCATCTGGACGGAATCGGCCCTTATGCTGGTTTGGAACTTCTTCTACGACGTTTCCATCGGCCCCATCTGCTTCGTTCTCCTCGCCGAGTGCTCTGCCACTCGCGTTCGCTCCAAGACCATTGCCACTGCCACCGCTGCTCAAGGGCTTTTGGGTATCGTCATGACCGCTGCGATTCCTTACATGATCAATCCCGGCGAGGCCAACTGGCAGGGAAAACTGGGCTTTTTCTTTGGGGGGCTGGCCGGGCTGTGTCTCATATGGGCCTACTACCGTGTTCCGGAGACCATGGGTCGCAGCTACCAAGAGTTGGATCTGCTCTTTGACAAGGGCGTTCCTGCGAGAAAGTTCAAAGGTTACCATTTGGAAGGAGCACTGTCCGCTGGATTCGAGTAATTTCAAATGTTGCTACTACCGTTGATGTACAGTTGCTGCTCGTACTGTTCATGCAGACTGGAACTGTTGAACTGCCTCCATGTGACTGTTCTCGAGTCTGTGGAGTGCATATAATTTTTCTACGTATTGTCATCTCCTTGGCTGGCAAATATTGACAATGTGTTATGAAGTAAACCCTCCGTTTCTCAAAAGGTCGTACCCCATTGGTCACACTGCTATGCGCAGACTTAACGGATACCTACGGCCTGAACGTCTACAACTTTTGATTCATTATATTTCAGCTCGCGTCTTAAATCCAAGTTCAGATATGCCCAACCCTAACTCGGAATCATGACCCGAGCTGAAATAAAGAAGCGGGCCGACGACGCCACCGGGTGTGAGATGATATATCATATAACTTGGCCACAATTCTCCATAAATTTGGACAGGCAACGAATCCGAAGCTTCTCGGAACCCCCGGATTGCCGATGTAAGCGAGGAATACGCACTCGCCATGACATGCTGACTGGGCAGATCGACACACAGCCCCCTTCTCACTCAACGTTCATTTGACAGCATCTGCTGGAGAAGTGACGGCACTGATTGCTGCCTTCGCTTGGATTGGATTCTTACGGTTGCACCCAATCTCCGTGACGTACGTGCGCCTTGTTCCTGGTGTCCGCGCCGCCATGTGACGCACGACAGGTGTAACGATGTAAGCATACCGGGCTTACATGGTTGAGGTGCGCTTCGTTCATATATTTGTGGCTCTAGGAGTCACTTTACTCATGTAGCTGCGATAGTCATACAGCCATCAACAAGAGCGCACACTGGATTGATCATTATGCGCGTTCCGGGCCAACTTCTCCTATCACTTCCCGGCCTACTTGGCCTAACATCAGCAACAGGGCCAGAATCCAACAAATGTAAAGCATATCCAGGGACTCGAAACTGGCCGTCTGCCCAAGTCTGGGCAATCTTGAACAAAAGCCTGGACGGGCGGCTTATAACCCCAAGTCCGCCCGGGGCAGTTTGCCATCCGGGACAGGCAACGTACAACGAAACGCAATGCGCCGAAGTGGTCAAAGGATGGAGTACATACGATTGGCACACCAAGAGCCCCGTTTCCATCATGTGGGATCAATATGCCAATGATACATGTCTTCCGGATCCAAGGGCTCCTTGCAGTGGGCAAGGCTACCCGGCCTATGTAGTCAACGCGAGCACCCCCGAGCATGTCAAGACTGGGGTGGACTTTGGTATGTGCATATTTTGGCTCCCCTCGTCTTTCAGATATAATGCCGTGCGAGGGAAGCTGACGGTACTGTAGCGCGCAGGCACAACATCAGACTTGTCGTCAAGAGCACCGGCCACGACTATCTAGGACGATCGATTGCTCCCGGAGCCTTGTCAATCTGGACCCATTACTTGAATAACATCGAGTATCACGCGGGACAGTTCAAGCTCAATGGCTCAGGAAAAGCGATTACTGGCGACGCCGTCACTGTTGGGGGCGGCACCGAAATGTACGACATTTACTCGGCAACCGACAAACATAACCACACCATCGTCGGAGGCGGTGGCAAAACCGTCGGTATCAGTGGCTACATCTCGGGCGGCGGTCACTCCATCCTTGCTCCTCGATTTGGACTTGCAGCAGACCAAGTACTCGAGATGCAGGTGGTGACACCAAGAGGAGAAATCTTGACTGTCAATGAAGATCGACACGCTGACCTCTTCTGGGCTCTGCGCGGTGTAAGTACTATACTTGTAACCATTGCTCCCTTGATGCTAATGATTGAACTCAGGGTGGAGGTTCGACATTTGGTGTCATTACCTCTATTACTCTCAAGACACATCCTACCCCAAAGATCTTTGCGATTAATTGGATGGCGCTCATCCAGCCCAACTCGACCAACTTCAGCGACATCATCACTTACTTGGTATCTCAAGTGCCTAGCTTGATGGACGCCGGTCTATCAGGATACAGCTTTGTGGGATACCAAGTGCCCAAGCCTGTGCCGATCCCCGGCCTACCAGATACCATCAACGGCATGTTCGGCCATGCCGTTCTCCAAGATGCCGACAGCGAGGACGACGTCGACCAGATTCTCAAGCCACTGAATGAGACGCTGAAAAATAAGTGGCCCGGCGAGGTTGGGCTTTACAACTCGGTAGTCCCATACAAGTCATTTTTGGCCTGGTTTGACGACTACTATGACCAGCAGACCGCCGGAAATAGTAGCTATCTTGTCTCGCGGCTGTTGGACAAGAAGACACTGACCACCACTTCTCCCGAGCTGACCAAGGCGCTCATGGCACCGATTCCGTACACAAATTCATACGCGGTATTTATGGTGGGAGGAAGGGGTGTCAATGATGCTAAACCAAGAGGAGGAGGCAATGCCGTCCACCCCGCGTGGCGAAACGCCTATGTCCATGCCAGTAAGTTGCGATGATGTAGCCATAGGAAGAACATGCCCGCCAACAACATATTGTAGTAACCGCCGCTGGATTCCCGCATTTCAATACTACCGCACGTCTTGAAGCGATTGAGATTCTGCAAAGGGCGTTCCAACCGCTCCGAGACCTGACGCCCGAGTCTGGCTCCTACATCAACGAGGTACCGTCAACATGGCTGTCTTACGAGCATCCCTCCCCACGCTAACTGTGTATCATAGGCGCTTCCATTTGAGAAGAACTTTCAGCAGACATTTTGGGGAAGTAACTATGAGCGTTTACTTGAGCTCAAGCGCAACGTTGACCCGACTGATGTGTTTTGGTGTCTGCCGTGTGTTGGTAACGAGCGGTGGCAGGAGGGTGAGGATGGCAAGCTATGCAAGATAAAGTAGAGCCCGGTGAAAATCACACGAGGAGATGGTGTATGCAGGCGAAGAGGCCGCGGCCTGCTTATTCTTGCATCAGATTGATATGTTTTGGCTGGTGGTGTGACACTGGTGTCACACGGAAAAGGGGCCTGAACAAAGGCATCCGTCATAACGGTTTTATTACCCGGATATGTCAAAGTAAATGAAACTAGAGTGATAATTTCGTATACGAGTTTATTGTGCCCCTTTACGAGGGGGATGGGCAGATAGTTGTAAGTTCAACTTTGTCGGTATATGATATAATCATGTCCAATACATTTGTGCGCATAAACTTTACTCGATACTTGATGGACATGAAAACCGGTTCAGGTGTACGAGGACATTCGTTGGTTGCCTGTTATTAGTCTTAGGCATTGCCTCGTCTCTACTCGATGCGGCATCACTGTCCTATGGGTTCCAGCACCCGAGTCAGGCGACTCCAGTTCGTGCCGGGACCTAATTCTCCGAGCGATCAAAGGCTGTGTTGTAGATTGAATCAATCTAATGACATGGACTGCTCGACGGATAATTGCAGTACACTTGTTATGCTGCCTTGACAGGTTATGCCGTCTGGTGAAGTGACGTACATATAGAGTTGTCGTGACACGGCCACAGGAACCAACCAGTGTGCATATCTAGAGTAGTAGTATCAATAAATCTAATCAAGATAGATTACTACGAGTTCGTCATTTAATTACATGGGGCCGCAAGGCCTCCACATGTCACCCGATGAGTCTGTCTTGAGAACAGCAACTTGCGATCATCCCCGGCCTAGGCCAATGCAATCCGGCCCTCAGGGTCGCATAAGTGCCAAGCCATCATCTCGGAGCATTTGCCAACAACTATTATCCCGGCACAGGTCAGCTACTGTCCAATAACAGCTTGGTAGTAAATATATCACCGGCTATTGTATTTCGAAACTTTGGTCGCCTAGCCGCGAAATTAATATAAAGCCAGAAAGGCCCTTCTCTGCTTCACCTTTTAGATTACAACTCAATTATAAGCCTTTACCCCGTCTTCAGTCGCAACGTCTCTTCAACGCCTATCCTACACCATGAAGTACATCGCTATCATCGCCGCTCTCGACAGTCTTGATTCTGCTGGGAGAATGGAGGCCAGGGTACCTCAAAATCCTACAGAAGCGTCCGCCGTGCCGGCTGCACCAGCGCCCGAAGTCAACCTGCCTACTATGATGGAGATTATGAACATTAATAAGGAATTCGCGCTAAGAATGTGTTTTTAATTGGAACTCTTGACAAATAAAAAGCACGCCAACGATTCGTCGAGGTGCTTACACAGCAATTATAGGTCCAGATCATAAACAACACCGCCTTTCGCTTTCCGGAGGATTACACATCAGCAAATGCAAAGTCGAATTTCTGTCGTGAGAAGAGCGACATGATTTATTGGCAACTCAAGGACGAACAAAAGGCCAGGAATGGCGACGTTTACTAAACGCGCTGGCCCGGCATGCGAGATGAGCTGCGTCCAGAGCTCGAGAGCTCGTTGAACTTTGCCTTCTTGTCTATACTTTTCCGATATGAATAGTGTAGCTACTTGTCAATATAGTTTGGGTTACACAGAACGGCTCCGCCGCTAGAAGCGTTTTAGATTGCCACATTGCTAGAAAACCATGTCGCGTCGACGCCGTCTCCCGACAAAGTTCAAGTTGACTTGTCAAATGAGGAATCTAGGCTTTATGCGCACTCAAACAGTACCCTGGCTATAGGAAACTTTTTTTTGCCTCACTCCACAGTAATAGCTTCTCCAGGGCAAGCCTCGTATCTCGTATCTGCGCGAAATTCATGCGACGCCCAATTTCATCCATGTGCCTTTGCCAAACACGAACGGCGACAAGGATTCTATGTATATCTTGCAAAAAGACAGAGGCTTGATTCTAAGGCTTCCTTGAGCTGTACTAATGGTATTTTCTATCACGCCAAGGGTTTCATCTAGTGTTGTCATGTCCCGGAGTTGATCAACAGGGGCATACGTAGAAGCTGCTCGGACTCTCGGAGTTGGCTAATAGGCCGGATTTAGCCCCTTAATGTAGAGCTTTATGGCCATAATAGCTATTATAAATCACATGTATTACACGGCTACTTGAATTCTGCTTTTTTGTAGTTGATTCTGGTCAAGGGCGCTTTGGGGTATTGCTTCTTTGCAGGCCTGGCTGGCAAAACTAGCTGTAGAAAAACCCTAACCCTAAACTTACTTGCAAGCAACTAATAGGAAACACCAAAAATAACAACCTAATAACTACCTACCTACTAGGTCTCTGAATCCAATAATCCTATCATCGCATCCGCATAATACCTCCTGCTAGTATATCCAAGGTTATAGTCCTTGCTTTCTCGACAAATACACCTACTGAATAAACAACAAACTGCGCAAGTTGAATTACAATATGCGATAGTCTCAAGTCTGTGGCTTTATGACAAGGGCTAAAGGCTTGGAGCAACATGACTCAATTCATCCAACAAGTTATAACAGTCTTGCATTTCCGACTACAAAGTAGCCGCGAATATCAATAGGAGCTGTGCACATTAAACTTGATGTTTCCAAGACTGAAGCAACATTTACACATCTGTCCAAGACCTCTATTTACAAGTAGTTCCCATGGGCCCAACGACACTCCTCGCTGCTGCCATATTCATCCGTCGGCTGCGGCGACCCAAAATGGAGGTTGCACCAAAGGTCAGTGCCACAGATACTTTTATCATCCTGGTTGGCCATGCACTCTTGGATCCTCGAATAGTCCAAAGGCTTAAACGGAAACGTCTTGTGGCTCTTGATACAGCTGCTAAGCGACGTGAATGGGGACTTGACGTCAGACAAGAGCTCGATGTCCTTGTGCTTCCGGCACAACTCGTACGTGCCGCAAAGCTCGTCCGTGAGCTCGCCGTTGGCGCATCTGTCCCTCAAGGCCTTGTCCTGCGGCGCAGGAACCCAAGGCGCGTCCACCACCTTGTCACCGTGAACCTGGAGGCACTCCTCGAGACTGGTAAACAAGGCATCCGCGGGAACAGCGCCCTTGCTGGACTCATACCTTTCGCAGGCTTTCCTGCCGGCGGGCCTGATAATTTCAAAACTAACATCTTCTGACAGGTCCCAGTCGGATGCAACCGCGGCATCGCCAAAGAGCCTGAGGGCGCGTACGGCGAGCCTGTACTCGCCCGCGGGGATATAGTCGCCCGATTCTAGCCGCCCGCTCCAAGTCTTGCGAGTTGCATAGGCGTGAGCCAGCGCCTCGAGGGAAAAGGCGTCGAGCTTGAGGTTCTTGTCCGCCAGGCGGGCGGCCAACCACTTGCGTGGCGACAGTGGCACGACCTCGGCGCGCACAAGACGAGTTCCAAGGACGGGCGTGATGCGTACGGGCAAGTCGATGCTCACGGAGCCGTCGTTTTTCGATTCATAGTCGACCCGATGCCCACCCGTGTGCACCTGGTCCCGCCCATTGTCCAACAGAGTTGAAAGCACGACTCCGTGTGGTTGGAGAACTTGGTGCTCCTTCATGGAGCCCGAGACACCCAGGTACGGAACCGTCAAGACACTGCTGCTGTTGGAGCATTTCGAGGAGCCGCCGTGGGAGCTTTGGATGGAAATACAACCAGACCACACCGGCAGGCGCTCGGGGTCAAGACCCTTGGGATCTGTGGCCGAGACGTCGACCGAGGCCGATTCGCCGGGACCCAGGACGAGGAGGCGCCTGCTGAGCTTGACATCGGCGGATTCGTCAACAGGACGATCAAGGTGTTGCACCCTGCCACCGCCATTTTCGAGGGTGTAGATAGTTTTGGCCGCCAGAGTATCGAGATGGTAGGTGACTTTGACTCTGGCCGTGTTGGTAATCCGGAGGCTGCGGGAATCGGCGCGATGTAGAGTGTCGTTGAAGGAGAGACTGCCGGGCTCAATGAGTGTCGTGGCGTGAGCGGCATCCCATGCTCTGGCCAGGCCGCCACCTTGCTGCGCAACCGAGTAATACTTTCCCTGAGGCACGGCCGTGGTCGTGAGGAGGCTGTTGAGCAAGACGGGGTCAAAGGTGCCTCGAACCTGGGCGACGAGGGCCAGGATGCCGGCGACAAGAGGGCCGGCAAAGGACGTTCCCGTAATATCCTCGTACCCGCCCCCCATCTTGATTCCCGGGACATCGTCGCCCGGTGCTCCGACAGTGGGCTTGATTTCAAGGTCCCAGTTGGGGCCGAATGTTGAGAATTGGGCCACGGGGGCGTCGGTGACATGGCCATCTATGGCTCCCGGGGCGCGGGCAAACGCGTTGACAGACGTCACGCCCCGGCCGCTGGAGGGATTCAGGGTATTAAAGAGGCCGGAATTGTTGTCGTTGCCGAGGCCTACAATACACGGGACGCCGCTGTCGACAATACGCGAGACGACGGCCGCCGCAGGACGCGTAGCCCAGGCCGCGCCCGGCCAGCCAGCAGACGACACAATGATTTGCGCGCCGTCCTGATATGCCTTGACCCAGCCGGCTATGAGGCCATCTTCTTCCATCGTAGCGGAGCAGTCAAGCACCCGATAGCCCGCCAGCGTGGCGTTGGGGGCCACGCCGAGGTAATTCGCATCGCTACCGGCAACGATGCCCGCCACTGCAGTACCGTGGCCACTGCAGTCCATCGGGTCGTTATCCTTGCCGTCTTTGGCGAAGTTGTCACCGAGAGCCACGCGGCAGCCTTTGCCGAAGCAGCCTCCCAGAGCCGGGTGGGTATAATCAACCTGACGACCATGTTAGTTGAACTGTAACTGCTCCCTTGTCTTGTCCATGTAAACAAATACGTACGCCAGTGTCAACAACGGCAATCTGGATGCCGCTCCCTGTAAACCCGGCTGCGTGTAGTTTGTCTATCTGTGTCATGACGTGGTTCCATGGCGACTTGACTTGACGGCGCTGGTGAGCCGACTCGGGCGTGGCCTGCGACTCTGCGGGTGGCGATTCCTGATGCTTCGACACCTGTACTTGCCACACCTTTTTAACGCCTGGCATATGTCGCAGCTCATCCCCGGCCACGCTTGCGTTGGACAGCTGCGCGGAGAAGCCGTAGAAGACCTCGGAGTTGAACTCGCGACGAATCTCTCCACCCTGCTCCTGAACCGTCTTGATGAGAGGCTTGAGGCTCTGGCTGTCGCACTCGAGGAGGAAGGCTCCGGCAACTGCATTCTGGGCAATTTCTTGGGCGTGTACGACTGCAGATGTTGAAAAGGAGACAGTGGCCGCGGCAAGGCAGGCGAGGGCCGAAGCCGACAGGCGAACCATTGTGTCAAAAACAAAGGTTTTGTTGCTCCAGGATGTCAAAGTGAATGAAGCTGGAGGGAAGATTTGGTCTTTGGTACCAGACGGAGTATACGGGTTAGTCGAGCCCTTTTATATGACGAGATGGCCAGCGTATTGTAAGCCCAACTTCATCGTTGTATGATACAACCATGTCCAATATATTTGATTAACATGAAGCAGGCGTATAGCGTATTAGAGCCAGGTCAGTCGGCGTCGAATTATCACCTCTCCATCTCAAAATCAGTTCAGGTATACGTATACTACGGTCCGCAATGGGCTTGGGTAACTGGGATGGCGAACATTCATCCCCCACCTGTTTTTAGTCCCATGCGTTCCAAGCGCTGCCTCCTTTCTACTCAATCCGCCATCAGTATTGTCCAATTCTTCCTCTGCACTGAAGTAACTCGCTCCGACTTTAAAAAGGGGTACATGTGTCACCATGCAAACGCCATTGTGCTTTGTGCAAGTAAATAGATGAGGCCAAGCAAGCGCCTCAGGGTTGGCGATGTCACTGATAGTCACTGGTTCCATACTTTCCACTCAGGTTATTACGAACCAGACCCCGATATAGCACCAACATGGTCATGTCATCAGCCAACACTCTGGGGTGCCCGAGTCAGTACAATTACAACATCGATTCAGGCAGCTTAAAGGTACATAAGGGGCCGTATATGCAGTCAATAGTTTATTAATAAATGGATCTCAGGGCATGTGCATGCCCAGGTTCTCTGTCCACCAAAGTAGTTCGTGCCGAGACCTATTGTTCCGAGTGGCACAAGGGTAAAAGGCTGTGTACGAAACGGCACTGTTGGACGGTTTCCTTTATAACATACTCGTTATACTGTCTGGTCAAGTGACTGGTGGAGTTGTCATGTGACAACGGCTAAAGGCTTGGAGCAACATGACTTAATTCATCTAATAACAGTCTTTGGTATCAAAGGTCCTCAGTTTTCCTCAAGGCCTCGTTGACCAAAGGGGTCTTTAAATACAAGAAGTCGGTGAGGGACTTTGCCCTAGGTCTCATAACCGTATCCCTTGTGTAACCGTATGACACGGAAAGTGGCAGAATGAAGGTCTAAAAGCTCCAGTCCACGGGTACCTGGCGTGGGTAGCGTGGGTTCTGGATGGGGCAGGTAATATAGATATATATATATAGATATAACATTGAAATTTAACCCAACTAGATTTTATGGGTATCCACACGGTCTTGTGGCTATTTTTATACTAGGGTACCTCATTGTTCAAGGCTTCGTTATTGCGCCCGCATGTGTGCTGCAAAATGTCCGTTGCCATTGCTATCCATTCCTGATCGCCGCAGGGAGGGTTTTCCCTCTAAGAACGTGCTGCTAATAATGCTGAGAGAGGCTTACACAGTTAGGATGCCGTATGCCTGGATTCCAATATTCCATATTGGAAGTATAACGGCTGCATTTGAGCTTATGGCGATATGTCAAGATTGACGGCTACGGACGCCGTTTTTTATTGCTGAAAATAGGTGAGCAAGAACTGGTTTGTTGTCAGATAGCTTCTTCGTAGCCAGTGCTGAGTTTTTAAGATTCGATGACTCAGTCTTTGACATGGTAGGAAAGTGCTCAGGCCACTGCTCGGTTTCAATACATCCAATGGCCTGCTGCTAGGTATTTACAACCTGATGTCGGTTCAATCCGCGCCGGGACCGACTCAGCCCCCCCGGTTGTTCACAGCTGTGACATTCTGACTGATGTCCGGTGGTTCTGCGGAGCGGACCGGGATGGCTGGCGACTGGTTCCCTTGTCCAAATCAGTTCAGTCAACCTTTCAAAAAATATCATTCTTTGGGCAAGTGACGTGATTCTTTAAGCAAATAACGCGCCTCCCTCGACCCGGGCCCAGTGGCCCTATAGTTTTAAAAGCGTCAACGGTAGAAGAGTGGATAGCTGGCGGCATGTTGATTCAAGCATGCAAGGAACACACACTGGACACGTACAGCTGATAAAGCCTGCCTTTTTATAGTAAATTCTAGCGAAGGGCGCTTTAGGCTATTGCTTCTCTGTAGTCCCGGCTAATGCGAGCTGCAAGAAAACCCTAACCCTAAACCCACTTACAAGCAACTAATAGGAAACACCGAAAACAATCAGACGCAACCTGATAACTACCTGTACCACGCGGATATACATGGACCACGGCAAGTCCATGTACATACAAGTCACTTCAAGTGCCCAGTATTCCAACATTTATCACACATTAGTATACTGCATTCTAAAAACGCAATAATTCTGCACGACTCATGCATGTGCACTCCAAGGAGCCACATGCACCAACCACCCTTTTATCCATATATTTTAACTATGAACATCTCGTTTACACATTGATTGTTTCTGAGAGTGGCCGCTCGGCTAACTTGGTCACTGCGGCACCACCAAGCCATTGAAGCTACATGACACAATGACATAGTTCCATGGCGACTTGACTTGACGGCGCTGGTGTGCCGACTCGTGCGTGACCTGCGACCTGGACGGTCTTGATGAGGGACTTGAGCCCCAACCAACTCTACATGGCCATCTCGGAGGGTTGACATGCCAATGGTTTGACGGTTGAGAATGTGCCAAAAACACCAGGAATTTCCTGCCCCTACATTCTCGAGCGTCATGATGATGACTTTGAGCTTGGCGACACTTGCCATACACTCGTCATCCAATCCCCATGTGCCCGATCATGGACGGCCTTGACCTGATGTTAGCTCTTTACCACTAAGGGGAATTTCCACTTCGTCGCAGTGACTCATGAGCTACTCACGGCATCGTTGCACATTGTTGTCCTCCCCTTTAACAGCCACACTTAGACCAGGGCGTTTCCAGAACGGCCTCTCAAACCACGCAGACCAGAAACTGCCGAATTCCTAATCAATAATGGCTTGGATCTTGATGTTGATGCCAAATGTTGCCGCGTCACAGACAGTGCCGATAAAGGCTGAGATGGAAGCGGCGCTGTTGCAGCGGCTGCCTGATGTCTGGTGTTTGCATGACGCCCTCGGTATACTTCCAAATCGACGAGGCACATATAGTTGCACCCGATTTGCTTGTCCAGTTCATCAAGTTCATCTTGTCAAATTGATGGGAAATAATGCCTCTACATTCGCATTACAGTACAGGGAAAACCCTATAATTACCCCTGGGGGGATAAAAACCTGCACCAAGGCATCTCGGAAATCCGCCATTCCGATGTCGCCTCTTCCCACATCCGCAAGACTTAGCCACTCCTTTAGCTTCCTCCGGGCGTTCACATCGAATCAATCGTTTAATGGGGACTGCCCGGGCGGCATCTGATTGTGTGAGATTGAGTGGCCTCACCGGTCACAGGCTGACGGGGATTGCCGTGATGCCAGCGGTACGTGCCACGGAGATATGTGGGATTGCAGTTATTATCGCTACGCAATATGAATCAGATTATCACCAATCGCAAAGTTGCAGGTGTGAAGGGGTGTACCTACAGAAACAGCTGGCAATAACCATGTTTAAGAACCTTGACTGAGTGGACTTGGCCCCCTCTATTCATCTTTGTTAGTAAAGAAAAAAAAAGGCATGCTTGACTTTTGAGAGCTTACACGCCGGCTTTAAGCACTTTACATTGGTTAGGTGCAAGAATCTCTTCTTCTTGTCCAGGTGCTCCATATGCAACGGCCTGCGTTGTGTGAGACCAAGGCCATTCTTTGCAAGGATGGGATAACCTACCACTTCTTCGGCGTTTGTGTAGTCGAAAGCACCCCCGTAGGCAGCCTCATTGTAGAGACGGTCGTCGTACTGAGCAATAGCGCCCAGGGTGACGGATGCAAGAACGAACAAGTTTGTGAGCTGCATGATATTTGTATTTATGAGCTTGAAATTTGCGGGATAGAGTAATAAATTAGGATTAGAGTAAATAATATGAATTGCGAGAGAATTTAGAAGACAGCCGTGTGAGATGAAGCAGATATTTATACTTGATTAGGGTCCTGTTTGGAAAACGACTGCTGCCTTTGTCGTTGTTCAAAGCGGCATGAGATGGTCCATGTATTTCCATTGTCACTCGTTTGGCTATTAAGTCATAGACTTGAAAGATGCAGCCACAGCGACGCTTGCCTCGTATCCAGATTTTACTAGTGTTCCCTTTTTGCCTCGTAGCCCATGACAGCCAGGATACCAGGTCGTGACTCTCAGTCACCTATTGGAATGGTCTTGTCTGGTCTAGATGTCGTGGCATAAGTTTAATATATTAGCATTTAACATGAACCAATAAACTACCGAGAATTGTGGGATAAAGTTAATACGTCAACTCGAGAGTTTTGAGGGGTTGTTGGTTTTATACTTTTATCCAACTTAAATGATATTCCTATTGCGTATTTCCTGCTAAAAAGGAAAAAAAAAAAAAAAAAGGAAATAAGAAAAAGTAAACTTTATTTTTTCGGGGTTACTACCTGCTAGTAAATAATTCCCAACAAACTCATGCATGTGCACTCCCCAGCACCGCCAAGCCATCAAACCTACGCAAGTCAAAGCAACGACGCAAAAGAAGTCTAATTATAGCGATCTATAAACTTGATAACCTTTCTTCCCGTAGAACTCCGCTCGAAGCCATCCAGACCATCCACAAAAACAAGCCGAAAGCGATGCTCATTCGCAGAATACGCATGCACAAAGGTCCTAATTCGCTCAGCAAGCTCCTGCTCCGGCAAGAGCTTAACATTTGGCGGGGACCGCAGCAGCCGAATCTCAAGGGACGACTCCAAAGACGGCTCCAGCTTGTCCAGGATGACCTGCCACTGCAGGACGCCGCACGCCTCGGCATTCAGCAAGGCCGTCAGGTCAACAAAGTCGAGGTACTCGCCGTCCCAGTCGAAGCTGAAGCGCCGGTCGCGGCCCTGGAAGCGCAGAACGCGCAAAAACGGCCAATACTCCTCGGGAACCAGGCCCCGAGCCTGCGCAGGAAGCGGGTGAAGAGATCCAATGTCGCCCGTGTCGTAGCGCACGAGGGGATTGCGCAGCCGCGACAGGGACGTTTGCACGACGATGCCCTCGTGGCCCTCTGGCACGGGCGCGGGATCAGAGCCGCCTTCGCCTTGCTGGGATGACGGGGAAAGGACCTCGAGCAGCATGGCGCGAGTGTCAAAGATGAAGTCTGCTTGGCTTGTGTGCGCTTCTTGTCCTGTGAGGTCTGGGTTGCTGAGCGCCCAGGGCCCTGCCTCGGCGCTGCCCATGATGGAGCAGATTTTGACATGGTTGCCGAGAACAGTCTTGATGTGTGCCCGCTGAGCGGCGGTGAGTACTTCCGAGGTGTAGATTATCTTGTCTAGCCTCAGCAGGGCCCGAGATTCCGGCGCAAGGCCCGATATCCTGTGGATAAGCTGGGCTACCTGGCTGCTGTCTCCGGCCAGGACGTTGATGTGATACTTGATCAGGAGATGAATCACTTCTTCTGGGGGCATGTGGTTTCCGGCGCTGAGGACGGAGGCGCCGGCGTTCTCCAGAATCTCCAACATGAGGTCTAGGGATCTAGTTTGCTGGTCAGCAAATCGCGCACTCGGCTCGACTGGTGGTCGCGAGTACCTGTAAAGCTCACCGGCGCAGTGAGTCGTGAGGATCCAGTCTCCATGCTTGACCACTCCGGTAGCTCGGAGAAGCTCACCAAACTGGGCCCTATGTCTACGGTTCTCATGGACGTCTGTGGCAAAGAACAAGGGTTTGGATCCGAACCCGCCCCCCGTGATGCTCGCATAGATGCTGTGGCGGTACGTGTTTTGGGGACTCGGGTCATTCACGAGACGCTCAATCGTTGTGTAGCTGCCAGGTTAGACTCGGAATACTTGTGCATTTCTGTCAGACTTCTCACAGGTCTTTTTTTCGAAGCAATGGTTGCAATTTCAGGCCATCACTCTCTGGCTGCTCCCTCGACTGTTCCCGAAGTTTCTCGATCGTCTCCGAGTCGGGCGGATACTGAATATCTTGGTCATAAAAAGGGTGAGACTTGGCAACGGCCAGCACATCGCTCAGTGTATAGTTTTCAGGTGCCATGATGCAATGATGAAACGCGCAAAAGACAATGTGAGGGGCATGTGCTGCTGGACGTCATGGTGCAAGGTAGGTCAGGCACGGCGGGCAGAGAAGATTTGTTATGAGGATCCATTACCGTTACACAGGTTTCTTGTTTTTCTTTTTCCAAGGACCTTTTGTTCAAAACTTGGCTGACTAACCAGAAGCGGCATTACATGCATGTTGAGACCAGTTGACGACAGCTGGACATCTGGGGACATGGAGGTCGCCGAACACAAAGATGCACGTGCATGCACCATAAATATTCTGCAGCCGCCTGAGACCCATGCCAAGCAACCTTCTGCCGTGTCTTTCTTTTTGAGGCTTCAATGTTTCCACCGCTCTTTACCCCTCGTGATGCTTCAGCTCCTCCCGCATGACCCAACTGCCGAAAATGACGTCCCCCAAGACAAGATGATATGCAGCCGCATTGAGACATCTGGAAGCAAAGCTATAAGCAGGGGCATGGCCAGCGTCAAAACTCTAAGAGACACAGAATCAAGGCGGAGAACAAGACGAGACGAGCACACATCGAATCTTCATGTCTTTCAACCAGACACCAGGTCTCATGCAAAATTTTTGGGATACTGACATTTGCCAGATGACGTCAACCGTACTGTGACGCATTCTGTTACTAGGCGAGCGTGGCAGGACTAGAACGAGACCGAAATTTGCCATCACCTCGATTCGATGACATGCGAATCCATCAGTCTCCGCGCAAGACAGAACAGAGCCAAGAGCCGCCGGTGCTAATGGCACAGATGCGATCACCGCTCGTCCGCCATATCCCCAGCCCAACCAGCGTTCCATGTACGGCATGATATGTCCCAACAAGGGGGTACTGTACTCGATCACCGGAGCTATCCAACACCATGTCGTACAACCGGGGCGTAATGCGTCGCTGCACAACGTAGGACGCCTCGGAACCCAGGCCAGCAGTCTGCATGCGCTCCAACGTACGAATCCACGCGTCTATGGAAATACTATCCCCAAACAGAATCCCGGCCCCCTTTCCACCACGGATAGGCTTCAGGATATACTGATGCCGCAGCTTAGGACAGCTGCGCGACTTGGCAAGGAGCTGTCGCAGCTCTGCCGAACCAGCAAGAATCGTCTTGGCAATCCCCTTGTCAAGGACCTCTGCTTGCGCCTGTGTGAGTACTCCTCTCGCCACCAGCTGCCCAAGCTCCTGTCGCACAATACCAAGCATGCGCTTGTCATGGACGAGCAGGAGCGTCCTCATGTCGTTGAAACCAAGTAGACAGACTTGGCGAAGCATCTCGGGCTCCAACGCCAGCAGCTCACGCTGGTGCAGCTCCAGCCCTAGCTGGACGATCTCTTCGACCACTTCTCCGTGATGAGTTTTGAGCGCGCAAGAGCCATTATGGCCATTGGTCCTGACGACGCAGTACAGCTTCTGCCGACTGCTGTTTTCTGGATCGGGGAGCAGCCTGAGATCCGCGGGGGTTATCAGCCGCGGCCTAAAGCCAAGCCGTCGCTGCAAGTCATGCATCATCATGTGAATGTCCATGCCCTTCTCTTCGGCTTTCAACAGATGAAGGGGAGCGTCGACGCGGAAGAGGCCCAATAAGCCGTCCAGCGCCTGGGACGCGTCAGAACCTTGAACAAGACCATGGCAGATTGACGGTGAGGGACTTACTCTGGCGGCGTTGGTGGCAGCCACGAATCCGTGAGCCTTGACGCCCATGTCGTCGAGGGCTCGCTGCCCGTACGCCTGGTGCATAAACCCATTGAAGCTGAAGCGCGCGTTGATTTCGGTGATGCGAAAGTTCTCAATGCCGAGGCCGTCGTCGCAAGGATCCTCAATCATAAAGTCTGGTCGCCATCCTCCGCGACACTGGGCGTACTTTGGCAGGGTGCCGCGCGATACTTGCTCTTCGAGCCACTACTCGATGAGGCATTCGACGCCTTAGCTTCTCACACTGACTGTGTTTGTTACGATCCGCGCTCACCTGTAAAAGGTCTTCTTCCTTGCTCGTCAGAGGCATTCGCTCCGGAAACCGACTCTCCTTGTCCGGCCACCACCGCTCGACAATGTCGGCGATGGCAGCGGTGAGTGCCTCGTGCAGCTCGGCCAGCTGTGTCTGGTGCTGTTTGGTCATGAGGATCGGGCGCGGACAGGCGGCCCTGTGAGAGTTTTTCGGCCACAAATGGGCCGGACAGCTATTCACAAGACTGGCCTGCATTGCCTCGTGCTCCTGCGTGTAGGTGGCCTTGTCGGCGTGGTGGTGGGCGACGGGCACGTAGCCCTCGCGGCCGAGCCCGATATGGATTTGCTGCATCAAAGTGGCCATTGATTCTTTGCTGGACGTGTTGCTTGTCTGAGAAGAGAGGACCGTCGCAGATGGTGGTCAACTAAATGCGCCGACATGTGAGCGACATGTGCATCTAACGATGCGGAGCGAGGCGAAGGTGTTGGCGTTTTCGGCTTTGGCCGCGCAGAATATCGAGTACTCCGTACTCTGTGCCTCGATTCCTAATTTCAGGCCGGGGAGAGCGCCTTCACCGCCATTCCTATTGCCGGAAAACTTTATGTAGTGCTGTGAGACATGCTAGGTGGCAGTTCAGCCTCTCGTGAGCTACGGAGCGGGATTGTGACTGGCATGTCTGAGCATCTCCAAACTAGCCATTTTTCTACTCCGTGCTTCATATGCACGTCGAGCTTTAGAGAGGAAGAAAAAAACCTTTTAGTCCTTGTGCATTATTAGTCCTGGTGTGTCGTGAGGTATCGCCAATCAGATGTATTCGCAAGGCCCAGAGTCACATCCCTTTGTTTTTTTTTTTTTTTTTTTTTTTTTTAAGTTTGAGCATTGCTTTTTCTGGAATTTGCGTCTAGAGATGCCACTAGTAATATCAGAATTCGATATAACCGGCAGAAGATGCCTAGTTGCTAATTATCATGCGCCACCACGCAAGGGCTCTCAAATCGGCCGTTGAAGCTGGGGCACAAGATGATGGGGTGTGATACACCAGACTGCAGAAAACCTTCTTAATATTTTGCGAGACACATGCCCCTGCCTTGTGACACGTGCGGGAAGCAAGACACCGAACCCGTACCACGCAATCTCAGGGACGCAATATCCGGTGCCTCCCTCCCACCGCGCGGGTGGTAGTGTCAGTTGCGATCATGCAGGCAGCCTACTTTTGCCCACCTATCGGATATGCCTCGTCCCTGGCCCGACAGAGCATGCCCTCGAATCGGATTGGTCCAAAAGCATGCTTGTGGCGTCAAGTGAGGGAGCTGTGTTTGGACAGGGGAATAGGGTTCCGAGGCAGACAAGTTACACTAGGAATTCGTGGAGAGCTGAGGTCCTCGGCTATGTACTGTGGTGCAAGTACGGGGTATTTACGGAGTACTATAGCTTATCAGGGTTCGGGCTGTGATTTCTAGATGCCATGATGCCATGCCGGCTGACTCCCCCGGAATATCACACCCCTGCTTCGGCAGCGACAACAATAGCCATCATGTCTTGGTACTAGTGCCTGTTCACAGCGGCAAAAGCTTCCTATTTCGTCATGCGATTCGCGTGATTTGGCGACAGCCCATTTGAATCGAAATATGGATCAACGTTGCAACCATCGCCGGACGAATCCAAGCTGCCTCACAAAAGTACACTGCAAAGGTCCATTAAGCGTTACATGATGGTGATTTTGCACTTTCATACTACCATGGTGTTCATCTCTCCTTTTATTCTAAAAATATAATATGGGGGAAGTGACATACATCGTAAAATAGTGTTTTCCTATCTATAATTAGTGTAACCGTAAAGCTTGTTTTACTTGTAAACGATTCTGCACATCCCCCTATTCGTACGAGCTATGTACTCTCTTGAAAGAGAATGCAGCATTACTAATACCTGATCTATGCAGTGGAATGGGTGTAGTGCCAGGTAGTTCTGAAAACATCGCGAGCAAAAGTTACACGGTCTACAGATAAAGTCGTAATGCCTAGTTCTTTAACTCGCCTTTAGAGTTTGAGTGAATTACGTCACACTGCAGTTTACTAAATGCCTCATGTTTTTGGACTTTCAGCATGTTGTCTCGGTTGTCCTTCCTTTGCCCTTTATCGACGTTGTACCACATGAATGAGACACAGCGGAACAAGCCAATAGAGCACCCAAGTTCCCGCATACTGGGCCTATTGAGATGTGAATATGCAAGTCTTGAGCCGTGGCTGGCTGAGCTAGTAGTTATCCCAAAATTGTCCTGTCCTCCGTACTCGGCCACGTTTATATATTCACCCCCCTCCATTTATCCCTGTCTGCAACGGGTTCAGTCCTGCATGAGACAACATTGAGGCTAACCTAGATCTGCACGGCCGAGATATCGCATGGTTAGACTAAAACAAGTCGCAGTTGAAGCCCGAGCACCGAAATGCCTTCAGACTTATTTCGAACAGCTTTTTTGAGTGGCGGTCCCTCTTTTGTACTCTGTATAATTGCCAGCGTCAAGAGGCCAAACGCGCTGTGAAGCACATTGCCAATGGCCAGTAGAAGCAGTAGTAATATAATCAGCCAGGTCAATCTAGCATGCCCCGTGGACCAGCGGAATGCATTCTACTGTTTCTGGGACCTCGTGAGACGAGACAGCTCGTGGCGGTTAGCCAAAGAATAATCAGCCACTGTATGGACTACTTTGGACACAGATCCATCTCTATTCATAACGCCTCCGAGATTTGCTCACAACACCTCTAGATACCAATGTGAAGTAGATGCCACGGAGCCCGTCTTCTCCATCACAAGCACTTCTGTAAAGAACGCATACCAAGCCGGAATCCCCTCTCTAGGTGTTTGTACTGTTCCACATCCGTGTTTCGCAGCTCCCGCGCACACTCGTCTAGACTCGTCTTCTCCCTTGCCACAATGGCCTCGAGCGCAAGACGACTCTCCCGGCCCAGCAGCCCGGGCGCTCTCCCAATGGCCTTCTTGAACTCGAGAAAGGCCAGGGCCAGGCCCAGCAGCAGGCCGAGATTCGCAACGGGCCGCACACTCCACCGCAGCACGTCGTTTGCCAATCTGGCGCTCTCCTCGCCCTGACCCTTGCTAGCTGCCAGGACAAAGACGTCTTGTAAGGATGCCGGTGTGGCATGGGTGGACTGGCCGACCTGCCGGGCCAACTCTAGCCCGACGTCTATCAGGCTGGTGTGCGAGTGCCGATTTAACTCGTCCATGCCGGCGACGACGTCGGTTTCCGCCTCGAAGCCGGCCTGCGCTCGGAGGAGGCGCAGGATACTAGCGTGGAGCTGGCATGCGGTCCGGGACGGCACGTTGATGGTGTTTTCCAACAGGCTAATGTGCGCGAACCAAAGGGCCATGATGTCTGGTAGTCGGTCTATCGAGGGCGAGTTCAAAGGCTGCTGGGTTTTCCAGGGCTCGCCGTCAGAGTCAACCTCTTGAGATGCCGTGTCTGTCGTGGCCGCCGCGTGGCTGCTGGCGGGAAACACAAACGGATGATGGCAAACCGGGTCTTGGAGCTCTGCTACGGCGTCTTTTGAGGCCAGCGGTTTTCTGTGGGTGAATCTCCAATATGGCGAAGCTGTGTTTTCCGGGCCCAGGGCGTCGATCCAGGAACAAAGAGCAGCCACCTCGTTGTGGGTGAACGCACCAAACATGCGCCCTCCCCACGAGAGCTCCCGTATCAATAGACTCTTGCTGCTTGCTCCGGGAATAATCCACGGCCTGGCTCGGCTGAGGGCATTCAGGAGTTCCAGTTGGTATTGGGGATTCGAATGTTTCCACTTGTTCGGGTCCAACCACTCGGAGAGAGTATGTGTCCCGATGCGAACTCTGCTTTGACAGTGGAACTGCTGCGATACCAATGCCTTGGCTCTAAAGATGTCAATTACCTGAGTGCTTAGAGGGTCAAGCAGCACGTTGGGAATGTTGGGCCTTGCAAGTCCCGATCCCGCCATCGTCATCGTAGAAGCAGCGGCGCTTTCGCGTTTACAAGAATGATCTCCCTGTGTCTGAGACAAAATGAATCCGACCTGAACACGCTTCCATGCCTGCTCCGAGGCCGTCTCGCCCTCGGTCGCGCGAACCATGTCCAGGTACCGTGTAACAGCGTGCGTGGCCATGGCCGTGTGTCCGGAATCAGCATTGTCTATGGCAATATGGATGAGGAAGTAGTAAGGGTCGATGCCGAGGTCCTTGAGCTCGTGAGCGGCTTGCATAGTGTTGAGCGTGACCATCTCAAAGTGCATGTTGTACCCAAGAATCTCGGGGAGGAACTCGTTGGGGAACAGCGAGATGAGAAGCTGGGCCACTGCAGCCTCCCAGGCGCCGTCATTGCCCATGACATCCCAGTCGCAGAAATTGATAAAGTCGGCGCTGTGGCCCTCCGGCAGAGGACATCCAACATCCTCCAAAAGTTTGCGGTACAGATGTACGTGGTGCTTGGACAGGTCGCCGTCACCGAGCTCTTCCGACAGGACCTGCCAGACATCTTTGGTGACGCCACGAAGAGCAAAGGGAGTCGTGATCTTGTGTATATGACCAAGCCATGCACCGTCAACAAACTTGACGGGCGCTTGCTGGACCAGCCATGCTTTGGCGGCCTCGGCTGTCCCGAAAAGCTCTGGACCGCATCCCTGCCTTCGTCGCTCCAGATAACTAGCCCACTCAGCGAGAATGCGTATACGCTCGTCCTCGAGGAAGCTCCAGACGCTTTCGACATTGTACTGTTCGATGCGGAGGATATTGTTTTGTGGCTTCTTCAGGGCGAGCGCAAGGCCCTGCGAGAACATGGCCAAGAGCTCATCCCGCGCCGGCCCGAGGATTTCAGGGTGGTCTTCAAGATGCTGAAGCTTGAAAAACATGTTTCGGTACCATTGTGTCGGTTTGGGATCCCGGACGGCAGACTCTGATATCCTCGCATCCTTGGACTGGGCGACTTGGGCATTCCTAGAAGATGCAGAAAAGTCCTGTCTCTTGGTCAAGCCCAGGCAGTAAATTATTGCAGGCAACAGGACAGCTAAGGGAAGGACAAAAGGATAGTGCAAGACGACAAAGGCGTCTGACAAGTCCATACTGGCGACAATGCTGACAGAGAGGAAAGCCTTAGCAAGAGGCAAAATTGGAATTCCTATCTGGACTGCGCTACTATGACGAGTGTTGCACCTGAAGAAACAAAGGTTGCGGCCGAGTGGCTTATTGCTACATCGAGAATTCGAGCGTCGTGTATGTCACAGCACATCAAATCACACGATCGACAGTCTCTGCGGAAAGGATAGCAAGGAAGATCAAACATGTGGCTGGCTGTGTTCCGTACTTTCTTACTGTCTCGTCTCAGCCTGTCTCTTGATGGGGGTTCGTTCTTTGTTGGCACAGCAAGGGGCCGTCCCAACCATTGTGCAACTCTCCAAGACTGCAGTCGTGTTTTGGGCTAGATGCATGATGGCGTTTGTGCCGTCCCATTGTGAATGCGGTAGTAACTTGGTACGTATGCATGTTTCTCGCCGGTCTCTTCCACAATTGCTTTTGGCGTCAATGCTTGGGATCCCTTGTTCCAACGAGTACAGAGTAGGCCGCCCCGAGAAGCACGAGCATGCAAGTATGTTGTGGCAAAGAATCGCGGGCCGTCATGCGTGACAGCATTGCAATCATACATGGTTGCAGATCAACCAAGTCTTTTGGGGATCAACGTGGGTCGTAGCTATGAGAAACTGGATGGAAGATAGTCCGTGATCTGTTCTGCAACGGGCTGTAAACCAGGCAATCCCCCTACCCCTCTCTTCCTTTCCTTTCCTTTCTTTGCTTTCTTTTTCTGTTGCTCCTTTTCCATCTAGTCTCTAGTCTCACAGACCATTCCCGACTTCTGCCTTTCGTCGTACTTTGAACATTCACACCCAATACCACCATCATGTCTTCTCCCGAGAAGATGGCCTCTCTCGCCGTAGTCAACTACGAAGCCCTCGCAAACAAAGATGCCGCCGAGGTTCAGAAGCTAGTAACAGCCTGCCAAACGGTGGGCATGTTTTACCTAAACCTCCAGGGTCCCAGCACGAACGCCATCTTTGAGGACATACCAACCATCTTCAAAACCGGGCATGCCTTCTTCAATCTGCCCCATGATAGCAACGAAAAGACACAGAGCGCTCGCGAGGGAATGGAGCGAGGGTGAGAGAAAATGTCAAGACACGTTAAGCTCCTGCCTATTACTGACGGCTTCTCCTTCCAACTGGTAGTTATCATGCCGGCAAGGGGTTCGAATATTACGAAGTGAGTGTGCCCTTGTAGGCAAAGCTGTCTCGTCGTGTCAGTCTCCTCATCTACTAACCCCTTGATCAGATTGCGCGCGATGAGTATCAACTTGGCAAATGGGTCTTACCCGCCACTTTCGAGCCGGAAAAGGAGCGCATCACGCGCACCATCAACTCCTTTCACGGTGCCATTCAGACGGTCGTTGCCGAGCTCTGCGCCGCCCTGGATATCCGCATCCCCGAGCTGAGCGATGATGCCGCCGTCCCCAGCGATACCGCTCTCAAGCTGTTGTACAAGCCTCCCATGCACGAGCCTGGCCACGTTATTCACCCGTGGCACACGGATTTCGGCCTCGCCACACTGCTATGGTATGACGAGGTGACGACTCAGATACCCATCTACGACAAGGAGGGGAAGCAGACGGACGACTGGGAGACGGTCCCCGTCATCGATGGTACCGTGCTCATCAACGTTGCGGATGAGCTTGCGGCTCAATCTGGCGGGCGCCTGCACTCGACTGTGCATCGCGTCGTCGCTCCGCCAGGTCCCAAGAGGGTGAGGAACGGAATTATCTATCTTTTGCGGCCGTACAAGGTTTAGCTAGTTTACCTAGGCGTGTTATTAGCCTGGATACTGCCGAGTAGATGTGAAGATGTTGTCGTTGCTACTCCGTACTCCGTACATGTACCTACAATACATACTTGCTTCAGGCTGGGCTTTACGTAGTTGCGGTCGACACTGGGAAAGCCTCATCTGCGGAATTAAACACGGCTGGCCGGCCGCATGTGCATAAGCGCCGGAATTCGAGGGCCGGAAGAGACCCAGCATCTCCATGTCAGCAAGTCGGATCCCTCCCTCATGCATGTGGCTTTTGTCAAGGGCGGGAGGAGCCTTGTACCCCGTAGACCGATCTTGACTCTCGGCTCGTGGAGGGGGGTGCGCCTTTCATGCATTGATGTCTCTGGTCTACCGGCCGTTCAGCCGCGAACAAGACGTGTGGGCTATCCAAGGATCCTTGATTCCCCGTGCATAATGACATATATCATCTCACTCTACAGAGGCGAGGGACAGACCAACTACAGCCGGGCGCTTATAGCACGCATCTTACGTATGTCCGTGGTTATACTACACATGACGATGGCTTTTGCTTGGCCATGAGTGTCTAAGCCCCGAAGGTATCTGGGCGTATCCGGCGCACCAAATCCATGGCCAAGCGAAACGCATGGAGAGGTCCAATCGACGAGGCACAAGGGACAGCGTGTCTCATTTCTCGGACTTTTACGGAGTACGGAGTACGCCGTAATGAATTCGGGGACTCTCATTACGTACATACCTACCAGCCACCCGAACGGCCACATTCGCAACGGGCAGCATTTGCAGAGTGCAAATCAACCCCTAGATCGATTAGATTAGAGATCTTCTGTACGGAGTACCATTGACTCTTGTATTTCGGCCGGTCCCCCCAAGCCCCTAGGGTTTCAACCTATTCACATCCCTGGGGAATAGTGTGACTTCACGAACATCTTCCAACCCCAGGAACCCCTGCAACAGCCTGTTCACGCCCAATCCGCAACCGCCATGCCGCGGCATGCCGCTCTTGAATGCAGTCAGGTAAGGCTGCCACTCGTCGGCCTCGGGGTCCAGCGGCGGACCACAGACTCCCGCGCGCATGGCCTCGCGCAGCTCGTCATACGAGTTGATGCGCTGACTGCCGGAGCAAATCTCCCGCCCGCCAACAATGGTATCCCACGTGTTGGAGAAGCCCGGCGCATCCGCGTTTGCTTGCGAGTTGAACTGGCGCATAGACGCGGGATACTGATCAATGGTGAAGACGTCTGTACTCCCCAGACGAGGAGACTCGCGAAAGTGCCGGCCAAGGGCAGCTTCTTCTTGGTCTCTATACGCTCGAGGCATCCCGTCAGTGCTTGGAGCTGGGGGAAAAGGCACACAACATGCATCATGGCATCAGTGGACTGACTTACGTAAAGTTCTTTCCGTCGTCTGATTCGAGGCCAAGCTCCTCTCTCAGAATGCGCTTGGCCTCGAGAAATGTGATGCGCGGGACTTTGCCGTGCTCATCCAGGCCAATTCGGAACGGCCTGGCACAGGGATACAGATGTTGAACGATCTCAACGAGCGGCTTGTACTGTTTGCGTTCTTGAAGACCCCGAAAGACAAACACCAGCATGGATTCAATCAGCTCGGCCACCTCGTGGTAGTCGTCCTGAAAAGCCATGGCTATATCCAGGACGGTGAACTGGATTCCCATGGTTGGTCAACCGTCATTTCCCAATGACAACGTGGGAGCAGGGGCGTTTGAGGCAGAGGGGAGGGTTGGGGTGTGAGCCTACCTCGGTCATATGTCTCGTAGACTTGCTCGACTTGACTTCAGCACGGAACACGGGCCCAATCTCAAACACGCGCTGCATGTCCATAGAAAGAGCCATCTGTTTGTGATGCTGCGAGCTCTGGGCCAGCCATGCATCCTGGCCAAAGTATGGCAAATGGAAGTACTCGTTGTCGCCGGGGATGGTGGCCGTGATGATGCGTGGCGTGTGAATCCAATGGAAGCCGTTTAAACAAAGGAACTCGACAATCAGCTGGCACATGCCCGAATGGAGCTTGAAGATGGCTCCGGAGGCGGCGCGGCGCACATCAAGAATGCGATGATCGAGCCGCTCCTCGAGCCCAACTCCGGAGAGTTCCTTGCCGCGCAACTTTGGCAGGTCCGGAGACGCCAGAGCAATGATGTCCAAGTTTTTCACATGGATTGTTGTGAAGGCCTTGTGTCCACCGGAATTCCCATTGACCAGTTGGACATGGCCTGTTACTCTGACAATGGATTCCGGTGTCAACTTCTGAGCCCTGTGCCACACCGCCTCTGCAATAGCCTTGGCGTCAATAGTAGCTTCAACAAACGTCTCGCAAATTCTAAGCTCCAACCGCAGCTGCTCTGGGAGCTCGGGTTTCAAGACAGCATTGACTCTGGCATCAAAGACCATCTTCTCCTCCTTGAAGCCGTGAAACGCCAAATTGGCCTAGTCAAATGTGTTAAGACTACCATCCATGATAGAACCAACGACTTACCGTGCTCTTCGCCTTGATGGCAGCGCCGTTTTCAGATGAGGGCATGGTGCTTGTGCGTAAGGGCTCGGCGCCGGTTATTCAGGGGATTATTGGGACAGCAGCGTCGATAGCAACACCGGGATAGGGAAGAGAAGTTTCTGGCGCGAGGACAGTTGACGAAATAGCCTGTTTTTTCCCCTCTTGGATGGCGGCATCCTCAAGTGCGCAGAGGATCGTCTTGTTGTGGTGGGAGCCCACCGTAGCAGTTTTTGGCGGCTCCTATTTCTGCAAAGCAACATGCAATGCATGTAGAAACAGGCTAGGCAGATTTGAGGTCCCGGGGTCGGGGGTATGAATGAGCCATTGCTTGTTTTCTTCAGCTTTTCTGTCGACGTACGTAATGGTCAGATGTGAGTTGTGAATCAAGCCAAAGCCGACATGAAACCATTTGTGCACCGTTGGGTATTCTCGCAGCAAAAGCCCAATAAGACGCGTATTACGGCATAACTTGCTCCGTGGTAAGATCCGAGACGGCATGTTCCATAAATGGAAGACGCAGCTAGCCACATGCATTCAATTCATGCAGCCGCCACCGAAGACGGGTTCTAGCATGTCCAGTCTCCTCACCGCTGATTATCTGCATCTTTGCTTGTTCGCTTGTGGACGGAATACCAACAGAGGCTTTTAACTGAGTGTTGTTGAGGCAGAACTAGCCGATTTCCATGGGAAGCGGTAGACCAGAGGTATTTGACGCAATGGTGTCATGTTGGTAGGTAACTCATGACAGCGTATGGCGGATGGAATCTATAGCCTAGTCTGTAGCTGCAATTGAACAGAGTAGTGAATTGATTCAAGACAGTAGTTGCACCAGAGGGAGTACAAGGCCTAAAGAGAGACGTACTTGCAATCTTGCAGACACGATTAATTGTGTGACGTAATGTATACAAGGAATCCAACAGCGATGGGAATAGCTGAAGATGTGTGGCGATGGATGAGGGCTTGGATGACCAAAACCCAAACTCAGCATGTATATAAAAGTAGGTGTCTTTCAAAGAATACAACGTACTCGAAAGGCTCTGAAGCCCAACGGCATCCGTGACCTGGCCCAACATCCCCCCCTAATGGATATGTATGTACCTAGCTTTGCAGGAACCATAGTGGTAGCAACAAGTGTTTGGCCGCGGGAATGAAACTATATGACCGGTTTGTCTGGTGCCTCAGGGCGAAGCAGGTTTCAAGCTGGTAGTGACATTTGCTTATAATATTTCGACTGGCATCCGTTTCATGATCATACCCAAGGTTGCAACCCTGCCATTCTTGTGCTGCTCGAGTTTGATGTCACAAGAAAGACTCGATGTGTTTCCAATCGGGGTAGTTTGCATAGTATCATCCGGCTCGTTCGGTCGGGCATCGTCATGGGATGTTGTAGACACCTTGACGAGGCTGTTGTATTGTTCAAAGTACAGCGCTGTTCCCGACTTTATTGGCCCTTCTAAGTCGTAGGTGCCCGCGCGTCTACAGAGTAATGTTGAACCGACGGTTACAGCTCTCGTAATAGAGATCCTGCCTTTGTCCATCTATTTCTACATATGGTAGCAACTTGCCTACTATTGAGGAAATTGACTCTGTAGAAAGCTCGGTTTTTGTACCGTTCTTTGTACACGTCAGGCACCAGGTGACCGAAAGCGAATATGGTTGCTACTCCTTGCTAAGAAGAGTTTCGATTGTCAAAATTGTTGGTGTTACTTCGTTGCACATATTGTGATCAGTTACACAAGCGCTCTCCATGCCTTTGAGCTTTGAGGGCTTTGTCTTCAGAAGTCTCTTGAGCGAGTTTGTGTATATCTCCCCTCGTTATTGTCATATGACCAGATTTTAACACGCTTCTTTGATAGGTCTCCTCTGTAAGTCGTGTTCCAAGCTTTTGACAAGCTATAGCTAAGCCGACGAAAGACTTTGTCGCCAATAGTTCCGTCATCAACACTAATTGACCTGAGCAGAGAAGCAATGCTCATAGCCACATACTGCATACTTGGTCATCAATGCATGATGATCTTGTAAAAGAGTCTGAAACACTCGGTTGTAGCCATTGGCCAGATACTAGCATGTATGACCAAAGTGATTTGTTTCTTTAATGAGACGACGCAGGCCATAGCCAATATTGCCAGATACTGTGCCGTCTGCTCTCTGAATTGGTCAACATAAGTCTCCCTGTACCTTCACCTGGATTGCTTTGAGTACGAGCTAAGTGTGTTGGGCTCATGCCCGATAAACCAATACACCCTGCGTGCCACTGTTGTCGGTTATTTTCCAAGCCGAAATCTTTCCCCAGTCATCATGCCCCGGATTTTGACTCTTCAGTTGTTCTGTAGCCCGCCCGTTGACTCTCGGCTAGTTAATCTCATCCACGCAGATGCACTGCCCCAGACTTTTGTAGCGACGTTCCTCAACGACACGGAACACTCTGCTGTCGCATATATTTTTGGGGCTTTGTAGCCTACCATCGTTGGCTGTCTTTAGGCCTGAATTACTCGTTGAAAGCCGACGCCAATCTCATGTGCTCGCAAGTCCGTCGAATCTACCACCGTCAACTGGCTTCCGGCTCTTCACTCTGCGACAGCTTACACATGCGTTTCTGTGCTTCACAAATCCTGTCTTTCGAGATTGTCGCCTTGACTGCCTGCCCAATTTGACCATAACTCAAGTAGTCTTTGATAGCTTGTGCATTTCTGGGGCTGTGGTAAGCGCAGACATGATTGTGATATTCCATCCTAAATGTCACAATCATCACGGCTTCTGCGTGTGGCAGTTTTTACCAGCTCGTTAGCACTCGTGTGCTCGTCGGCCCAGCTATGTGTAGTTGGGTATTGCTTGGATAGATGTATGATTTGTTGCGGCAACCAACTGTGATGAGGGTGACACGGCGACGTTTTGACAGATGAATCATCAGGCGTGGCAATGGTCTGGCCTAATTGAGAATCTATTGACCCTCATGGAAGGGAAGTCTTTAGTACATCGAAAGTCCTCGATAAAATACCTACCGAACTTCATCACTAACCTGGTGAAGCAGAAAGTTGGCGCATCTCAAGAGGAAACCCCAGTCGCGTACAGGGCATCGCGACCTACTGCCAATACACAGAGACACAGTGTTTCCGCCAATGTAACTCCGTATTCTGCATAGCAGAGTTACGTCGCCCATCTATTTCTTGGCAGAAACTGTACCAGACAAGGGCATGATGGAGGCTCATCATTTGGTTGCACAAACGCCAAGGCCACAATAATGTGGTGCGCCGAATCCGGAACCTCGGTTACGATATTGGAAGTCAGGGGCCTCGAAGGCAGGGCAGCATTCATTATGTATTCCGTACATTGAGGCAACCGTTGTGCGACTTGGGCTGAATATTGTCGCGACTCGCTCGAGTTGAATAAATGCACGATCTGGTTGCATGTCCCAGAAAGAATCCGTCCGCGTTGGCACAAAAGAGCCGTTATCGTGCCTGGGCCTACTGGCTTGATCAGGGTGAAATGCCCAATTTCCCATGCATGATGCTTGTCCGAGCGAGGCGTATGCACAACGTGACGGGTCGGCCGTGTTTGTTGGCAAATAACAAAGGGTTCCGCTTTGGAATTGCTCTTAGCTCTGTGCGAAATGAGAAGCCAGCTTGAGCAGATGGAGTTGGTTGTTGGCGCGACACAAGATGCACTTGGAGGTTGGTTTAATGTCGGTCGCGGAAGGACGTCGCGATTTCACAAAGAGGGAAGCCGCGATGAGGCAGGATCCACTTGCTCTTGCACTTTGTATGGGCTGGTCTGTCCCTGACTCGTCCATGACTAAACTCGTCACCAACTCGACGAGGGCTACGACTCGAATGTAGCCGAAACTGCGGTCCCCGTGCTTCCCAAGAACAAAATCACTACGGAGTACGGAGTATTTTGCGGCTAATATCTGAGACTCAAAGTCCGCTTGCTCTACGTCTCACTAGGCCCGTCGCAATCCCGGCATGATCCATCCATGTTGGCTCAGGCACCGTCCGAGGAACCATCAATTGATCTAAACCACCCTGGCCTTGTCCACGAGCGTCGTTCAGTTGGACCTCAGCTTCGTCAACCGAGTGGTCTGGAAGGGCTGGAAAGATTTCGCTAGTCCTACTCACGAGCCGCCATCGTCACGATGGGCCTGGGATCCGGAGGCCTTGAGCCTCCCCCTAGAGACAGATAAAAACACTCGCGGGCAATTTCTCAACATTTCATACTTTTACCAGCGTTACTCTTCCATCCCATCGCCCAAAACACTGGCAAAGGACCCGAACCGTCATCACCATGGCTTCCACCAAGGTTCTTTGGCTGGCAATTTTGGTTACGAGCACAGCGAACGCCGCCAAGTGGACTATTACAAGAGTCTATATCCAGACCGTCACGCGATCCACATAGAGGAATAGGTATGCTGACAGAACTGTGGCCATTACCACATCGCACACTCACTGTACTCCCGTCACCCTGAAACCCTCCATTACTGTTACCGCCACACCAATCAAGGCCTACACGACGACAAGCAGCAGTTCCTACTATGACGGCCATGCCTACCTCATTGGCGATGGCTCAGATGATGTGGTGTATGTCCAGCGGTTTTACTCGCCGGGAGCAATCCCCGCTTCGAATCTAACAAGTTCTACGCGTGACTATAACCAGACGGATTTTACGAGCACCGATTTCTTCCAGACCATGGAGCTTACGGCACCCTCGAGTTGCCCGACACCCTTTACAGTCACAGCTAGCAGCCAGGTTTTGGTACCTGAGGAAGTGATTGACCAGGTCTCCATCAAGTCGGCAACTACGATCAGGACTACAATTGACTACGATGACACCGCATATACCTACACCTTGGTCTCTGCATTCTTGGCAAGCACTTCTCGTCCCACCGGTGCCGCTGCGACTCGCAATTACATATACATGCCCTACATTACGGACTGCAGAAATCCAACCTCAACTCCCAGACCGACAAGCGACGGCAGGGGCGGACCCAGCAATGGTGACGATAGTGGTAACAGCATCAACCAGGTTCGTCATATACCGGGGAGCTGTGCTTGGAGCAATTGTGGCAATACCCCGTACTGGGGGATAATCATCCTCACTGTCCTGCCTGCTGTTTTTCTCCTTGGGTTCTTGGAATCTTACCATTGATTTATCTGCCTCATGTCTGGCGAGGGCGCGCTCCGAGGAGGCACAATATCGTGGATCTTGCTTTTTCTCCCGTCCATCTTTCTGACCAGATATATCCCAGCCCGGAATGAGGAAGACCAGGAGCGACTGCGTGCGCAGTGGCAAGAGAAAACGTTTAGCCAGAAGTTCTCACTTTGGAGACAATAGGGCTTGCGCTATCGATATCCCATGGAGCTGCTGGGCGTCCATGCAAAGTATACATATGGAAATCCCGCACAAGGCGAAAAACTGGTCCAAGATTGGTATGGCGAGAGTGGTGACAGACCTCAGATTCCCGCAACATACATGAACCAGCATGCAGCGGGACAGATGCCAATGGCACCACCGCAAAGCCAGTCCCAGACTCCTCCGCTACCGCCACGAGCACGACTCGCGGGCCGCAATCGTAGATCTGTCAGCTCAGACTCGGTACTTCCGCCTGTGCCAGAAGAGGCAGGGCCATCATCCGCCAAAGCCAGGGGAAAAGAGGTGGAAACAGACATCAGACGTTCAAGCCGGCCCAGCGCCCAAGATTGAGGATGACATGAATGGACGCTCGACAGAGTCGGGAACACACCAAAATGACCCCAAGGACAAGGACAACGCCTGATAACGTTGAAGACTTGAAGGAAGCGGCAATTCGCCACATTCATTAAAGCGAGTTTCAGCATGAGCATTCTCCGGAAAGCAGGGACGTGTACTTGTTCCGATTAGCATAATATAATTATTAATCTTACGCTTTAAGATGAAAATATGATATTGACAAGTGCCACTTGAAACGCGGGAGACCGAAATTGGGCGCACCCAAATGCAGGAAGCTCTATCCCGGCACGGAAGACGGTAATGGCTGAGCTGCGAGCTTTACTTTTCACGGCTAGGAGATGCAGGCCCAGCTCACCGTGATCGGGACGCGGCGCGGGTACAAAATATCGCCATTCCCAACTGCAGATACAACACCGGGTCGTGTCGAGTTTATTTTGTCGACCCCGCGATAAACTCACGGTAAAACGCCACCAATGCAGACCCGTTCTGCCACGACCGTGACGATTTGCCAGGAGCGCTGGACTTCACGCTCCGCCTCCCATATTAAGCTTTACACCATGAATCGGACATTTCAAGACACCGAGCACCGTTGTGTCACCCTTTCAACGCGGTACATATATTCTCCATCGTTTGCCAGATGATCCCCCGTCCCAACTCTCAGCACTCGAAACCCATTCCTCCCATAGCATCTGTCCCCAATATGGCCATCGACCACACCAGCCTCCATGTCCCCGAGGATAAATTCCAAGCATGCCTCGAGGTGTACCTCGCGGCCCTGAAACCCCTCGGCTACGAAATTGTCTACCAGTTCGGCCCGCACGTTGTCGGGCTGGGGTCGAAAAAGGACGCGGTCAAGGACTACAAGCCGACTGACTTTTGGGTCATGGGCACAAAGGAAGCCACGGCCTCGGGGTCGCATATTGCTTTCAGGGCAGAGGGTAGGTTTCTTGGCCCACTTGACCGAAGCAGGTAGATGGTGCTGACGCGTGAGTGTAGACCGCGCGACGGTTGATGCTTTTCACGCCGCGGCCGTTGGGGCTGGCGCAAAGGATAACGGCGCGCCGGGCCCGAGACCGGATTATCATCCCAATTACTACGGGGCGTTTGTGCTGGATCCCGTTGGGAACAACATTGAGGCTGTTTGCCATTTCCCGGCCTAGGAGCATGTGTTGGTGGTGATTCGGTTGCTGGTGATTCGGTTGCTGGAGTCGGGGGCGCTGTGAGAAGGGGTGTGTGTGTTTGTTTGATCGGCTTGTTGACAAGGCTAGCTTGGACGGTAGTAAATTGAAAAGTGAGAATAATTCATGTCAGGTTCGCTCTCTGTCGAATGTTGTCGCTGCACTTGGGGTTTGAAGGGCGAATGCCATCCTGGGAATAATATAAGTTGCAAGTATAGTATAAGATTGTGTAGTCAGACAAATAGATGGAACAACTGTGTAGCTAGAGTGGAAGGAATGTTTTAATTTTCGCATTTGTTTATGTTTTTTAATATAAATGCGCTCATTTCACGAAAAACAAAGTTTTATCCATGACGAACAAGTCGGCAATCACAACCACAAGTCGCTCAGGTATGTATTCAACCCGTTTCATCAAGCCAAGATCGAAAAGCAATTACATCCTACGCAATACGGAATATGGCCACAGCAGACAATGCCTAGGATGGAGTTGTAATGGACGCCAGGCCGACGCTACCCTATAGGCAGTCAGGATAAACTTGGTGCACCACTACTACTCAGAGTATCCAAGAACCTCTCCATGGCGGCATTCGTCTCCGCGGCCCTTTCCAGATGGACCCAGTGTCCCGCATCGACATAGTGAACAGTCAGTTGCGGCGCCCACGCAGCCAGCATTTGCTCTTGTTGTTCTGCCCCGGACGGCGCGACAAGCAGCGTCGGGCGCGTCAGAAGCAGCTCTTCAAAACCCTTCTCATCGGGCGCAAACAAGTTGTCTCGCCACATGCGGTACCATCGCGTAGAGCCGGTATACCCGCCCTCTCTATGGAATGCCTCCAGGTGCAGCCGCTGCAAGTCGTGCGTGTACCATTCCCCGATGGGCACGCGTCTGTCTTCAGTCACAAACTGCCGCATCTTGTGCAGCGGGTGGAACCACTCGTTCCACGCTTGGCGGTCACGGGCAAACAGCAGGCTCATGGCCGACGCGGCGTTCTTTTCGAGCATTGCCTGCGTTTTGCCGTCGTCACGGTCGCTCAGCCAGTTGATGTAGCCCAGTAGCTCGAACCCCATGGCCCGCCTGGTCATGTCGTTGATCAAGTCGAGGTCGAAGCGGGTGCCTAGCTTTGGTGGCCCGACTGCGAGAAAGACGAGGGCGGTGAATCTGTCTGGGTGGTAGGCTGCGAGGCGGGAGAGAATCGTGCAGCCGATGTCGTGTCCGATGCCAATGGCGACTTTGATGCCGGCTGCGTCTAGTAGCTGGCAGAGTTCGTCGGCCATTGGCTTTAGGCGGTAGCTGGACGGATCTGTGGGCTTGCTGCTCTGCCCGAAGCCGAGGAGGTCGCAGGCGAGGATGCCGTAGCCAAGGGAGGCGAAGTGGTCGACTTGCCGCGTCCAGTCGGGTATATGTGATGGGAAGCCATGGAGGAAGAGAAGGGTCGGTTTGGCTGGCGTCTGGGGGCGAAGGTGAATGTACGAGTATGTGTGGCCCTTGGATGCCTCGAATGAGTTGCGGGCAGGGAGTTGGAGCGTCATTGTGCTGACATGGAGCTTATGCTACGTTGTGATGTTTTGTGACCATGGTGGGAGAGCCAAGATGCCGTTTTGAGGATGAGCAGCTAGGCTAGTGGCGGGGAGTTTTCGGACCATTTTGTGTGAAGGTGTCAGCATATCTGACGTCACGTTGTAGTTTGCACGTGTGAGAGGCTGTCATGTAAGATTGTCTGGTAGGAGGTTGCCATATACCGCTCAGCATGATGTTGTCTCCTTGGAAGACGTCTTGGAACATGCTCCATGTCGACCCTTGAGATGAGAAGGGTCATGCAGGGTTGAGGGTTAGGGTTACGAGCGGGACTATCGATACGCACTAGGCTTGCAAACAAACTGCCATGTTCAAGAAGACGGCGGCAATCAGCATACGGAGTATTGATATCGAAAGACGCTGATGACAACATTGAAGTGGTCTGGTCGTTGTGCATCATGGTGCATGCTGTGGCCACGTCTTCTTCCCCCACATCGCTCCCCTGCTCCCCTACTCGCGCCCCTGGATCAGGTTCCGGCGATAGTTTATCCGGCCCCGGCACCACATGTGCACGAAATTGAGGACAGCTTGACACTGGGCGCACATCCGTCTGCCCAATCGTCGAGTTCCTCATCCAGCTGTCGCCGTCAACATTTCATATTTCTGTTCCTATTCCTTTCTTGCTCCCCCCAATTGTCCCACGCACCGCATAATCCGCCAACATGTCCGATCAGATTCAGGAGCTTGTCGAGACCCCCAGCCAGTTTTTGAAGGATGGCGTCCAATTCATGAACAAGTGCCAGAAGCGTATGCCCCGACCCTCGCGCCGATGCCTCTCCTTTCTCGCACGCGACCACGTCTACGAATGCTAACATTGTTTCTTGACACAGCCGACAAGAAGGAGTTTGCCAAGATCTGCCAGGCCGTTGGCACCGGTTTCGTGATTATGGGTGTTGTAGGATATGTTGTCAAGCTGAGTATGCGATCCTGCCCCAACATGTCGCTGTTTCTCCCTTTCCCCCATGGCCGTACACTAACCTCCATGCGCTTGCAGTCCACATCCCCATCAACCAGATCCTCGTGGGTGGCGCATAAACAGCGCAAGGTCTTGCGATGTACGACATTTTAATTCATCATGAGCGATCTATTTCGGCGAATTGGCGGTGGGAAATAACCGACGGAGTGGAAGGAGCAAGGAAGCAATAAAAAAAAGAGCGCCCTGAACCTGTGTGGACATTGATAATAGCATCTGCGGTAATGGGAGGGCATATGAATGCTGTTCCTCTGGAGCGTCGCAATGCGGGTTCTCTTTATGGCTACTGCCCATGTACTGATAGTTCCCCATGTTGGGATTGAAGAAAATGATACACATTGTCCAAGCCAGAACTTTGGTCCACGTCGGTTTCTGTTCCACTGCCTGATTAGCGCGCCTTGAATGCCGGTGACTGAGAACCCATTCGTATTATATGTCTGGACTGCTTGTGTGTTGGCAGCAATTGGATTTCGTGCACGGTCTGTCCTGGATGAGCAAACCTCGCTGGCATTCTTTTGTTGCCATCTTGTTATGATTTTTAATACCTCCGCTGAGCACGATCCGGCTGCGTTGGGTATTCTCAGAAAAGCGAAGCAGACACCAAGGTAATCTTGGGGTCCTATGAGAAAAGGCATCATTCGGCTGTGGTCTGCTGTCATGGCCAAATGACTCTTTTATGGGGGGCTTGTCGCGGTGGCACAAGTCTAATTGGCTCCTTTGTCGAGGAATATTGATGATGCATCTCAAGCATGTGGGCGACCTGATTTGTCGCTTTGAATACCTGCTCACCTGTGGCTCTTCTGTCGGCCAAGATGTCTGTACAATTGCGGCCTAAATACCGTTGTCGTATGAGCGTGTGTTCAGAGGGCGAATCTTCATGTTGTAGATAGAGGGCGTGTTTTCTGAAAAGTCGAGGCTACAACATGTGCGGGGCATCAGCCATACAGTTTGCTTAAACATCTTCGCGTCCGCGACATCGCCAGCGTCAAATTCCTCGAATACATTTCGTCATTCCCTTTATTTGCATGTAAATCACCTTCTCTGGCAATGATGATGAATACTTCATGGCGTCTTGGCTATGCTTCTCACTCGGCGCTCCTGACGAGGCCGATGCGCTTCTTCTCCACCTCACGACCTCAGAGTCTGAAGATCAATGCCGATAGACTCAACGAAACTCTTCACTACACGTGTCAATGGGGAGCGGCTAACAGATATGGAGAGTAAGTCGACTTTCGCTCCCGAGATACAAATACCATTTCGTCACGCTCATGACATTTTTCCAACACTCACAGTGGCCCCAACGATACCGGCATGTCGCGGCTTGCCCTGTCTGATGATGATGCCCGCGTCAGGCAATGGTTTGCCCAAGAGACTGCCAAGCTGGATTGCCAATTGACCGTCGATAAGATGGGAAACCAATTCGCCAAGAGGGCGGGATCATCCAAAACTGGCGCCCCGATGATTGCAATGGGAAGCCATCTGGACACCCAGCCGCGTGGCGGTCGGTACGACGGGATTTTGGGCGTCCTCGCTGCCGTCGAGGTGCTCAGGACTTTGAAAGACGTCGGCTACACGACAAATTACGACGTTGGCGCGATTAATTGGACAAAGTATCTTTCCACTGCCGTCGATCGAAACTGACGAGCTGTTCGCTAACCATGGACAGCGAGGAGGGTGCCAGATTTCCCAATTCCATGGTGTCATCCGGAGTCTGGGCGGGCAAGATCCCCATCGAGAAGGCGTGGAGCTTGGCCGACATCTTTGATCCATCTGCCACCATGCACTCGGAACTTGTGCGGCATGGCTACGTCGGGAGCGTCGAGTGCTCAAGTGACCCGGAAACGGGATATCCGCTCACAGCCCACTTTGAGCTACACATTGAGCAGGGACCTATCCTAGAACGAACTGGTAAAAGAATCGGGGTTGTGCAGGGAGCGCAGGCGTACAAGTGGTTGACCGTGTCTGTGACCGGCCGAGATGCCCATACGGGAACGACGCCGTTGGATATGCGGAGCGACCCGTTGTTGGCCACGGCGAAAATGATTGCTTCTTCCAATGCTATTGCAAAGAAGCACGGTGCGCTGGCGTCCACGGGCGTGGTGAAGATTCCGCCAAACTCATCCACCAACACGATTGCTTCGACCGCCACCTTCTCCCTGGACATCCGCCACCCAGAGGATCATGTAGTCGCCCAGGTGCTCGAGGAGTGTCTTGCATCGTTTGATTCCATCAGCAAGGAGGATGGCAAGGGTGTCAAGTTCAAGTGGTCGCTTGATACGGACTCGGAAGCCACAAAATTCGACAGGGACTGCATCAAGGCTGTTGAAATGGCGGCTAATGACATCGTCGGGCCCGACGGATGGAGTCCGTTGACAAGCGGAGCCGGACACGACAGCGTGTATACGAGCAAAAAGGTTCCCACGACCATGATATTTGTTCCTTGCAAAGATGGCGTGAGCCATCATCCTGAGGAATATTGCAGTCCTGAAGATTGGTACGTTTTTTTTTCTTGTTATGCAGGGACATGCGATCGGTTGCTGACTGGCGTGCAGTGCCATCGGAGCTCAAGCGTTGTTGCAGGCAGTGATCAATTATGACAAGATGCTGGTGTCTGGGAATCATTGATCTTGCATGAGGAGTCAACACTCTCGTGTTCTAGAGAGTAATTTTTTGCGATTTGCATCATGTGTAGATGTTCCAACACCAAGGCCAGTGCCTGTTTTGCGTCAATGCAGACTCTTGCATGATAATTCTAGCTGCTGGGCCACAAAACTTGACTCTAGATGGGGGTGAAGTCTCAGGCAGCTAGCTGGCAGTGACTTCTTTACCTAAAAGCTAGTTGAACGATTCAGGAACATGATATATTAGCGACCTGCATTAACGAGTATTGGAAACATCTGCCGACCCCCCTTTCTCTGCCCACGAAACGTCGTTATGGATCGGTTGTAGTGGGGAATCATGTTCATGCATTAGCTAACTGCATGAACTTGTCCTTGGTCTTCTTTATATATTTACTAGGTATGCTGTATTAATGCGTTGATATGTAGGGAATAATCGCATGACAACTCGACCCCCTTTCCTATGTACTGCGGATTTATACCTTACAGCATATAGTTTCAGATAGATGTCGTTTACCTAGTTGGAATATAAATAGTGCTATTTCCTCTGTATTAGTTTTGGGCTGGAGAAATAACTTCACACGCGTATTGCCAATACTCTACCACACTGAGCTCTCACAACCACCTTCTTATTACTTGCTCCGGTTTCGCACCCCACCTATCAACAATGAAGTACTCTTTTATTGTTGCTGCTACTGGCTTTGCGCTGAGCCTGGCCGCTGAACTACAGCCCTGGAAATCGGGGCCCGGCGGCACCGAACAAGAATGCAAAAAACTGAGCCTTCAAAAGGCGAGGGAATGCTTTGACAGTCACGAGGCTCGACCAGATACCGAGCCGAAGCTTCCGTGGCAAGACGGAGAATGGAAAGCCAACCCCAGACAGTTCAAGCTCTGCAACGACACGCACCCTAATCCCAATTTTAAGTTTCGACCTATCTTGGAACAATTTTGCGGCACTGAGATTTACTGCAATCTCTTTGATCAGGATAAAACACGGGTTGATGGACTATTCAAGAGTACAGAGCACTGCCGTCAGTCTCATGAGGCCGCGCCATAGGCTTTGTGAGACATATGTGTCTTGAGCCGTACAGACTGAGGTGTTCAATGCACCAGAGGCCGCACCGCGGCAGGGAACGTGGACGGAATCCTTGTGCGCTGGACCTTGCAGCATAGTTCAAACCAGTTCAAACCTTGTCGATGAAGAAGGCCCGGTTAGATGACTCGTATTTTAATCTAGGACACGCACTCGTTGACAGAGAAGAGAAATAGAAAACTACATACAGACTGCTCTAATAGTCTCCAAAGTATACACGGCTGAAATAACTTTAAATAACTAGGGGAAGATAGCAAAGATTTAGGTTAATACCTTTGTTGTAAGAAAGTGCTTTCTTTGCACTATGGACCACGTATCGGCTGGCCACGATTCTTGCGCTGTCCCTTTTTAATATACGCTACATACCTAATTATACTTGTGAAGCCTAAATTCTATGCCTCAGACGTGCTTCTCGATGCTGGATGTGATTTCGGACGAAATCCTCCGGGGAAGCCGGTGGTGATGTGAATCCTTCGCAACTGACTGAACTGGATGTGTCGCAGCGTATGTAAACTTGCTTTCCTTCTTCTTGATAGTAAATAGCATGGGGGGTAGTCAGTCTAATCAACCCGCTAGAGGCCTTTCTCAAATCAGAACAATTGGACTTTATACCTATCATGTAGGGGTCCTCGCACTAGACTGAGATGGATTTCTCAATAGCTCATACAGGATTATGTAGTTTGAAAGAAACCAAGTACATCGGCGTCAGTGAAGAAGTGCCTGACAATATGCAAACTCGCCCGTCAGCAATGGAGCAGAACAGCTCGGCAGGCGGTTTATTGGCGGGGTTGCTGCCCAAGATGCTCTCGCGACGGCACATCACGGTCCTTGAAAGCAATGAGTACTTGCAACAGTGTAATCAAGTCAGAGGCGTGAGATTGGCAGAGCCCTGTTATCTGTCTTGATAACCGGGGACTGGAAGAAAACCCCCTTTGTACAGGGTTGGTTGCATCAGCACTTTCTGAGCTGCCTCGCCTAGGAACAGAGAAGCAGAAAGGGCAGAATAAAGGGATGAGGTAAAGTCAGATTACATGAGCTACATTTGCTGGTATGGAGGGGAGATCTTGTCGCAGAATCCGCAAAATCTCGGCCGTCGTTGCGAACGTGTCAAATTCTCTCCCCAGTGCGTGGTCGACTGCCTGCCGCTGGTGAGGGTGCAAAGAGCCTGCTATGGCCACCTTTATTCGGGGGGTTGAAAAGAGCGCTTTTGCGGTAACGGAGCGTTGTACCCGTAACTGTGCTAGCTTTGTACGATAACACCGTATTGAGGGTTCCAAGACCGAGGTCTCGCAGGCCTGGGTTCGAAGCCTCAAACTGCGGCATCCAGAGTTGCAGTGCAAGAAATCCAAGATCAAAAAAGCCATTCGCGCTGGTGTAGAACTCAATGCCTATAGCTTAGATACTTGATATCAGGAAGTTGAAATGCTCGTCAAGGAATTGGGCATTCATCCGGCTCATCTTTGGAATTTTGATGAAACGCCTCTCTAACATGGTTAGGCTAATAACAGATTGAGGATGTTTTCGACGCAGATGAAGAAAAACACTCGGCCTGTCACCTTCCAACCGGAGAAGATAATGGTAAGGGTTCATGAGGAAGGCAATAAAGAGGCACTAAAGAAAATAAGGTGAGCAGAAAGACGTCTTCCGTCGCCTTTGAAAAGAAGCAGCAGATGAGAAAAAAAAGTTGCGAGGCCCCGGATTCCTCATCTTGATGGGCAGGCGGCAGCGGTGGAGCTGAGTGTCTTAAGGCAATAGAAGATGACGTTCTTTTTAAGGAAACTTGCAACAGGGCAACTCCAGAGGAGGAAAAAGAGGCTATCAGGAACTTGCAGGAGATATGGAATAAAGCTACTGATGAAAAACGCTCCCTGATGTCAGCAGCAGCGCCAGAAACGGCCCTCCAAGCCATATCGGAAGTTGAGGAGTGTTCGGCAGCGAAGGAAGCAGCAAAGGCAGCAAAAAGATCCGATGCCAGGCAGATGCCGAGGCCGAAAGCACAGACAATATGGATACCGGGCCTGCAGACTATATCTCAAATACCACATCTATTTTTACCGTGAGCCGGCCTGAGCCGGCCTGAGCCAACCTAAGTAAGCCTGAGTAAGCATGAGTAAGCCTGGGCATCCCCTGAGCTTGTGAAACAGGAGTCTGGTGGGAGGAGGGCCATACATGGCTGTTTCACTGACTCAATTCGTTCATGGGGACGGAGCCGTTTGTTGCTGTAGGCTAAGCGGGAGCTTGCTCTCACATGATGTCCCGAAATAGCTTTGTACCCGACTGTTACTAAAGCGGCCAGTTTAAAATGCATGAGTGCGGTGCAAAGGGAACCGTCGTGGGTACATGTAAGTACATATTCCCCATTCACACAGACGTTGATCCATTCAGTGTGCCATGAAGGCTGCATCGTGCCAAGTCTCTTTTGCCCACCCGATAGCGCTTGGCCTTTTGTTGCAACTTTTATTATTCACCGCAATAAATGCAAATTGGTCCGGCAGGGGAGAAGAATGTCAGGTGGTCCTGGTTAAATGTTTTCCTGGGAATTGCTACACGGGCCTGAGCCTGAAACTTTGGTTACACGGTCATGACTCTTACACGGGTTCTCTTACACAGACCTGATTTTTACCACATCTGATTGAACCTCCGTTGTGTAGCCCATCCCGTATACTGCTGTGTCTAACCCAACATTGACGTACCTGATCTTCCCCCCTGGCAATTTGCATGTAGACCTTGAAGCGTCTGGTTCTTAGCACCGCGAAGACAATATGCCGATGTGTGTTGCTGCGGTTGGGACCAAATATCGCAGGGCCAGGAGTCCGTGGGAACTTGACGAGAATTAAGGGAGGATACAGGTTGTATTGTGTATTGTTAGGCAATAATATTACTTACTAGAGCCTCAATTATTCGCATCATATTACACCCATCTCGTTCTCCTTGGTAAATTTTATCATGGTTATGACGTACAAGATGATATAGATCGCAAACGGGCTTCCCGAAAAGTAGTGACAGGATCAATTGCGCCCGCAATGGTGAGCCATGAGCCTGTAGTAGACGAGGTTATGCGGCTAGGGGCTCAAGTTAGGGTAGCCAGTTACACTACCTTTGATGCCAAGCACCAGACCCGTTGGTAAATAAAGGTTAAAATCAGGCCCGTAGCAATTCCCGATTAGAATGCTATCGAGTGTCCGAGGCTGTCTGGTGACATTGTAATTCGCCCAGCCATAGCCTACATCGATTCCGAATACTGCTCAGCAGGGACGCAACCTGTTCGGCTCGGACAGTAATATCGGCAGTTGGAATAGAAGAGGAACACGGCAGACCATCAATTGTGACCCCTGTCGGAAACGCCAAGGTGTTTTGGGCTTCATTTGTCCCATCGAGCGTAGGGGTCTGGTAGGCTATGGTCGATGGGAGCCGCAGAGCTGACGTCACCGACATGAAGCCAAGATTGAATGGTAGGCCTCGTCTGGCGCACCTGCTTTCACTACTAGGCCACGTGTCGACTCTTGCCATGGGGTGTATGCATACATGGAACGATATGAGGTATCGGATAAGGATATCGACAGGGATTAAAGCCTGGGAGGATGTGCATGAAACGGGCTGGATAAGAGAGCAGGAAAACACATAATACACATACACACTCAACATTAGTATAAATTTATGATTTCCAGAAATGTGACAGAGTTTATCTCGGGAAATTCTTGGCTTCCAAGGTGATGCTTGTGCGTGCATTACGGTCCAAGAATGGGTCACTTTTATCTTCACTCCCCAACCACCCGCATACATTCAGGAGGTTCGGCTAGCATTTTGTATCCTACAACTGCTGAGAATCTGATGCACAAACAGGTCCACACCAGTGCGTGGTCGCAAGGCCATGTCACTGCCATGTCCGTTGTCGTCGATGGGTCGAGACCATAATGCATCTCGTCTGTAGCCCTCGCCAGTGCCTTGCAACTGAGCGGAATACATGTCTCCTTTTTCTCGCAGCTTTTGTATAACCTCGTAGGTCAGCCGTGTATATTCCTAGCTTGACTGCTGAAGTGGGTTCGCGATGCTAGGTCTGGCTGCTTTGTTACTTGTCATGACGGTCACGTTACTGTCTCCAGCCTTTAGTAGGGATTGTAGCCGAATTGCCTATCCCGATATCATCCCTGCTATCCTGCTATATCCCATATAGTATATATCGGATATCGGATAAAGCCATCGCCCTAATCTGATTTGCCGCCCGCAACAGACTGGCTAGGTCTAGTAGATTGAATGAAACCTTTCCACAAGCCCTCATCTAAAGCCCTTGCCACATAACGTAATATAGACCCGCAAAGCTGTAATGAAGAGGCATGTCTACTACAATCTTAAAACTACGAGTCATTGGTGATACCCGCAGCATTGTAAAAAGCAAAGACTTGCCCCATTCTGAGGTACTGCACATATTATCTGATATTATGCCCTGACTACGGAGTACCTCGGTACCTATGCGTGGCTAAAAGTGGGGGCAATTATACCAGGGGACCAGACTCCACATCGTCTTGCATGCACGACGCTCGGGAGGTGGGGGTGGGTGTCCTAAGAAGGTGCGGTTAAAACCGGACAGTCGTGGACCTTGGGTCTATGTATCAATATCTAGATTTATTAACCCCTTGTGACTAGCTTCCTTATAAGCCACTACCGGTAGGGATGCAGGTTCACTTTAATTGTGCGCTAATGCAAAAATTTAATTGGATAAGCTGCACGGAAACTGTCCGATCTGATCAGATTCTAAGCTGTGCCGAATATGAAGGCTGGTCAACCACTCAACCACCCGCATTAATTTAGATGGTCGGGGAGTAAAGATGAAAGAACTCAAGACTTTAAATCAGATAATAGGACGGAATATACAAGAATACATAATGTCAGTTTTCTGCATAATAGTACCACCGTATTTCTAACACCTTGTTACACGGAAATCGCAGGTTACACAAGGGCTACGG